GAAAAAACGTTCAGCACAGATAAATGACTGATTGACTGCTTGGACGCATACTGAAGTGCAGTCAGCGTGTTGCTGTCAGAGTCAGACAGCAGAAACAGGCCGTTTGCAGAAAACCGTAAAGATGCATGTCTGACCTGAATCTTCGTCGTCTCCAAACCGCTCGCTGTGCACAGCAGCTGCAGGCGGAGATCACACACATCCGCCCCTCAGTCTCTTTCTCAATACCACAACAAAACTGCATAGGCTGAGTGTGTGTGTGTGAGTATGAGAGAGAGAGGTAGTATATCTGTAAAGAAGTACTGGAGGTGTTAGTGGTAGAATATTATTCATATCATAATGACATATAGTGGTGTAAGAAAATACTCAGATTGGAGCACCTTGGTGGTCAAATGCTTGCAGCGAATGCCACATTACTGCAACTTGGCCAGTTTGAGTCCAGCTGGAGACATTTGTTGCAAGTCTCACACCCTCTCTCTCTCTCCCCAACTTGAAAAGGAAACACAAAGAAAACACAGAAACTCAGAGTCGATAACAGTAAATCAAAGGAGCTCCATACAATATTTAGAGCATATCTATGATTTAAAGGTTTTCTGAACACTGGCTCTCAACATGGAGGTGGCTGAGGAGGTGACCAGCAGCTAACAGCACTTACAACAGCAACAGTGCTGACAGAGCTAATGGTGTTAAATAGGGGGAACCAGAGGGTGGATACTACACTTCCGTGATGACGCCATTCTGATATCAGTGGTAACTGTTGTATGAGCACAGTGTACATACATGCACAGCTGACTACAACATCAGTCAGACAAACTCAGATTACAACACACAGACAAAGACAGTGCGACTTCATTCTCTGTTCAGGATGCCATTACTCCACCCTATCTTTACACAAACACATAGTGGCTTGCTGCAATATTAATGCTCTGAATGACATATAAAGCTCCTTTAAATATATTTATAGTAATAAGGTAAATAACTAAAGAAATAACTGCAAATGTCGAGTGTGTCAATCAGTAACATCAGTGATTTAGGACTGGCATGATATCAGATTTTTACTTCACAATTATCGTGGCCAAAAGAATTCACGGTAGCGATTGAGATAGCTATAGAAATTATAAAATCATAATAATGCTATCAGACAAATTCATCTTAAACTCAGGTTATTGTGTGCTTTGTCTTCGTTTTTTGTAAATTGATTACACTCAAAATTATTTAAGAGGAGCATGATTCTTTACATGATATTATCATATATGTATTATTACAAAATATCAGTATTATATTTTTAAAATATCAATATCACTGTCAATACCTTTAAATCGTGACACCCCTGGTCTAGATGTGAATGTGTTAGCATCACTGGGTGTAAGGTATTGTAAAGTGAAAGCAAAACAAAAGTCAAACAAGGACAAAAGGCGTACAGACACCAGCTGGGATGAGTCCAAGTGAAAGAAGGATGATATCTGATAAAAACACTCGGCCTAGGTGCTTCAAATCAGGCTAGCTGCCAAGGACCCATAACTCTTAACACATAACTCTTACATCAAACCTGCATATCAGTAGGTGAGGCTGCAGCAGGGGCCATCACACATTTCAGTGCACATTCAGAAGCTGCCTGAGCTTACTGCTGGGTAACAAACTGTATGTCACAGTTGTTTTTATTTTACTCAGTCGGCCTCTTGGCCACTTCCTTCAGCTACTTCTTACTTCCTCAGCACCCCCTTGCACCCACCTGTCCCAGTCACCTGACTCACACATTCATCTGCTCACTTGTTTTCACTTGCCATAATCAGCACTGTAGTATATAATCAGCCCGTTTCTGCTTATTCCCAGCCAGATTGTGAATGTAGTTCATGCCTTTGCTTTCCAGCCACCTGAACCTGCAACCTCACACCAGTGGTTGAATGTACTTAGGTATAGTACTTAATTACAATCTTGAGGTACTTACATTTAGTTTGACTGTTTTTCTTTGATTCTACTTTCTATGTTTATTTGATAGCTCTAGTTACTTTTCAGATTCAGATTATTACAAAATATAAATATATATAAATATTATGTTACTGTATGTATCATAGGTTAAGTTATCCAGCACTATATAAAGTATAAACCAACTAGCCCCATCTTCACCAGCTGCAACATTAAAGTGATGAACACATGCATGCATGCATTAATAATAAGAATCCAGTGTTATAATACAGCATGTAATATTCTGATCCTGCATGATGATAATTTTAGTATGACGTATATTTTGATGCTAATGCTTTTGTACTTTTTCTTAAATAAGACTTTGAATGTTTAATTGTAACACAGTATTTCTACACTGTGGTGCAACTGCTTTAAAGGATCTGAATAAGTCCTCCACTACTGCCCTACCCTAGTGTTGCAGCTGTGTGACAGTTCAACTTTACTGCCACCAGATGGAGGCCTTGATTCACAAATTCGCCTCAGCTGAAGGACTGAAGTTTCAGGGTTTAAGTAGAAATCACTTTCAGTAGAAATCACTCATGCAACATTTTCCCATACCTCTGCTGCAGTTCTTTATTATTTCGCAGAAGTAATAGTTATATTATGTTGAATTTGCATATTTGCAACATTTATTTTTCTTTCAGCTGCAGTGGTCAGTGAGAAAAAGAAAATGTTCCATGAAATAAATAAATATAAATAAAAAAATAAAATTAAACATCAAACTTAAACATTTGCTCAACACATGACCCAACTTTTCACTAAATGTCACTAAAAAAATATTAAACTTTTAAGGCACCCTGCTAACTAACAACCAGGACCAAAAACATTAAATGTCCTTGACAAAATTAACTGAGTCAAACTTCCTTTTTTTTTAAATCTTCAAAAGTTGTTTTTTTATACAATTCACAAGGAACACAAAGCACCATCCCTTTATTTCTAAACTATGTGGAGCAGCCAGTCAGGGCTGTTTAAGAGACTGTTTTAATGTTTAAAGGAAAAAAAAATCATATTATGCAACAGAAGAAATTGCTGCTTCTACCCAACTACTTCTACTGCACCTGCTGACACTGTTGTTGCATGACTTATAATCCTTCTCTTACTACAGCTTACATACACACTGTACATACATACAGCCCAGGATTTATTATAGGAATTTTTGTTAACACACAAGAGTTAAACTAATCCTCACCTAAGCCTTCTCACTCATCCTCCAGTACAGGCCAAGATGACGGGAGCTGACACTGTGATATGCAGCCTCAGCTGTTAACCCTGCATGGTATTACTAAACATGAAAGCTTGAAATTCAAAACTCCAGTATGTAAGATTTAGGGGGATATATTGGCAGAAATAGAATACAATATTCATAACTATGTTTTCTTTTGTGTATAATCAATGAGTAAATACCTGAATGAAGAATGACATGTTGATTATCTAGATAGTTTCAGTTGTTTCAGTTGTTGCAATCTGCAATCTCACTGCTAGATACCACTAAATCCTTCATACTAGACCTTAACATCATTTACATTATCCAACAATGTGAAAATGTAATAAACCTACAAAGCATTATGAGCTAAATCTGCAGCTCCCCTCAGCTTTACAGAGCTTTACAGTGAGTTTCAGCTCATTGATTAGATGTCCAACCCACAGCTTGTTTTGGTTCACTCTCACCACTCACATGGCATTGTTTTCTGCCGCAGCAGGGAGCTGTTTTCAGTGAAAAATCTGTAAAAGGCAACCACACTTCCTGCTCCGCAGCAAACAGCAGACAGACACAGTTGCTGGCATGAACATAGTGCCACATTTAGCAGTTAGAAATAACAGCTGTTTCCCTCAGGAGTTGATAGAGACCAAAAACAGAATTAAAACAGAGTGAATGGGCCTATTGGACTTACACTCATCAGGTGGTCACAAACATGACTGCATGATAATGTTGCTCCATAACTGCTGGATGTAAAGAACTGTTTGCCGACAACTTTATCAACTACTGCCCCACAGTGGCCAAAAAATAACAATGATAAAAATAAAAAAAAAACATCCATTACTACAGGTTTCAGTGAAATTCCAGCATAAATTTTGCGAGAAAAATCTTGTGCTGTGCAGTGGTACAAGATTTTCAGCAAAACCTAGACTGAAAAATACTTTTTCAAGTAGTAATCCTGCATTCCACATTTTATTTGAGAAAGTATAAAAGTATAGAAATATTATATACTTAGGATACTCAAAGTAACAGTACTCATTATGCAGGCTAATACAGTATATATTATTAGACTATGATTGATTGAAGCATTGATGTGTTCATTAATATTGTAGCATAGAAAGGCAGAGCTAATTTTAATTTAACTACTTCATATACTGCTAAGTAGATTAATCTGTAATAATCTATCAGGATGTATCAGTAGATTTAGCCTATATGAGGTTATCTGAATCTGCAAAGTAAAGGCATCGATAATTATAATCCAATAAACAGGGAGGCTATACATTATTCCGAAATTAGCCATTCTGCATATGAGTACTTTTACTTTTGGTACTTAAAGTACATTTTGATGCTGATACTGTTGAGTTAGGCTACTACTAAAGTAATTCTGAATGCAGAGTAGCCTGTTTTTACACAGTAGTATTGCTGTTTTGGTAAAAGATCTAAATACTTTACTAATGGATAAATGTTATGGAGTAGAAAGTACATTATTTGCCTTGGAGATGCATAAAGTAGCATAAAATAGAAACAAAGTAAAGTAGGTTACACTTATCTCAAAATTGTACTTATACTTGAATGTATATGGCCTACTTCCCCATCCCTGGACATATTTATTTTCTACTCTTTGCATATAGTTCATATTTTTCCACTTAATTGAATATTTAATAAGTAAACTGAGTAGGACACCAAATGCCCGGGTCAGCCCCCGGTTTTCTCAGTGTGTGTGATTTATCCCGCCTCCCTCTCGGGACCATGCGCGTGACGCCCGGTGACGTCACCTGTAGTAGCTCGTGTCCCCAGCAGCAGCAGCAGCAGGTCCTGTCTTCATTCAGTCCGGTCCAGGCTGACCGACAGTTAACGGATCCCACGGTTGTTATCATGGACTGAGGCTGTTTCTCGGCTCTTTTCTCAACAGTTTGCAGTCAGACACGGACACACGGTGTGGGAACATGTCTCCTCTTCCTCAGCTGCTGAATATTCATCTCACTTTGGATTTTATCCTCACGAAAACAGATTTTTTGGGAAGTTTGAATCCACTGGCGCTCTTTTGACTTTTTCCTGACGTTTGTGGGAATGTAACGTTTTGAATAACTTTCACAGCTTTTATCTCATGGATACAGAGACACTGTTGGAGTATTTACACACTTTCTGTGATTTTTGAGGGTAATTTTTTTATTTGGAGGTGGAAGTGGACTGTTCTTTCTCGTCCCAGACAAGTTTTCATCACCCTTAGTTAGCTAGCGGGAAAAAAGTATGCTATTTTCGGCTTATCTCAAAGGTCCCAGTAGTTCTGTTGTGTTTACGTGAACAAACAACAATAATGATTTCGGAGGAGAGAAGCAGTCACGTAAATAAACAAGCCCTGAACTTCCCAGTGGGTTTGCTCATCCGCTCCCCAAAGAGGCGACTGGCCAAACTGGGGAGGAAACCCAGCAATGGATCTGTCCAGTAAGTCTTTAGTGGTAACTCTTTATTTAGCATGTTTGAGCACTAATTATACATGTAAGTCAACCATAAACAGTGGTAGAATATTAACTAAGTACATTTACTCCAGTAGGCTACTGTGCTTAGATATAATTTTAAAGTACTTTACTTGAGTATGTACTACTCTGTTTCTACCCCACCACATTTCTAACAGTTTTTACATCACTACATTGATTGTTAAGTTTTAGTTACTTGAATACAAAATATAAATCAGTGAATATATTTTGATGTATTGTTACAAATTAAGCTACCCAGCAGTATTTCAAGTAAAATGAGATGCCACATTAAAATGATGAACACTTAAATGCATCATTTATTTCAATCACGTAATATTCCTCTAAAATGGGCCATTCTGCATAATGAGCACTTTTCTTGTGATATTTTAAGTTTATTTTGATGACTTTTGTGCCTTTATTTAATTAAGGTTTGAATGAAGGGCTTATTTTATACACCTAAGTATTGTGACTTTTACACAAGTAAAAGATCTAAAAACGTGTTCCACCTCTGCTCATATAAGTGGATGATGGTGTACTGTGCTTTACTGTATTGTTATACATTGTGTTTATACACCAGCATCCACTTATGTTTGAGTAAAGGGAGGAGTTATAGTTGTAGACAAATACATTAATAAACACTTGTCTGCCTACAACTACATTAAAGTGTGTTGAAACTATTAATTCAAATACTAATGAGGTCAAATACAGTGTCCCCTTCATGTAAGTAAAATTGTTTTAGACGTCTAGTATGTGATCACAAGATGCAAAAACAAATCACATTTGGAAAATGTATATTTATTAAACATATTACGTATTTAATGTATCTTGGTATCTTAAGAACAAGCTTGCTAGCTTTGAAGATATGTACCATAAATGCAGGTAATAGAAACCCTATATAAAGGAATGTTTTAGACTATGTTTAGTCTTTCTTTTCTAGTTTTGTGTCACCACCAACTATATAATTATCATCATTACAGCACTGCCAGCTTCTCTAAACCTCATTAACCACTTTCTTTTTGCCTTATTTCTGACATATGTAGTGTGGATAAAGCCAGTTTGCAAACAAAACAAATAATTTTTCACCTTGACATAAATATTTCATGCTTAAATGAACATTTTACGTAGTTTAAATCCCATGTGAGCTTTATTGCAGTGATATAAGGGAAGATTATTATTCATCAGTGAAAAAGCACAGGAATAAAGTAACTCACTTCTGTGTCTGTGGGTGCTTGTGATACCTAATGGTGATTAGATTTAAGGTAATCTTTGTTGTTACCCATAAATCCCTGTGTACAGTCTCACACTGTAGAGGCATAAAAATTGTCTGGACATAAACAAAGCCACTTAAGACCTTTATTCATGCATATGCAAAATGGCTGATTATTCCGTTGTCCATATTTAACACCTGCCACATAACCACTTAGCTCACTGTCTATTTCTCTATTTCCTCTCAGGTCCAAAGACTCGGACACCACCGTCCGCTCCACAGAGAGTGTTGGTGTTAGGCAGCCAGCCAAGAGTAAAATCCGTCGGCATAACAACAGGCTTTCAACTGTTTTCAACCACAGCCCTAACAGTGGTCGCCGTGGCCAGGCACTGGGCAGCGGGAGCCTGGCCGGTGACCTTCAGGCTGCAGATGACCCGGCAGAGCTGTCCAGTCAAATGTCTGTCCCTGGCATCCTGAAAATCTTTGGCAGCGACATCTGTCAGGGGACCAATTATAAGAGCGTGCTGGCCACCATACAGTCCAGTGCAAAGGAACTGGTGAAGGAGGCTTTGGAGAGGTGAGGGGTTTCCATTAATATCTGTACAATATATTTCATATTTGCACATATTATCTCCATTATATATATTTTCTCTGTTGTATACTTTGTATTTTTGTGGATTCCACCTTTTCAACTGTGAGGATTTGCTGCTTCTCTTCATGTTCTATGTTTGTAAAGTGAATCTGTTAGGTTCTGGACTATTTGAGGAAGACACTTGAGCTCTTGGAAACTGTAATGAGCACTGTTCACTATTTACTTAAATTTTATGAACTAAATGATTAATTGGGTAGCCATTCATGCCATCTTTCCGGCTCTGTGAAGATTCACTTGGAGCTAATAATACCAATACTAAAATACTAAAATGGTGATATTATAATGTTTACCATGTTCATCATCTTAGTTAGGTGTATAAACATGCTTGTATTCGCACCAGTCTTCAAAGTTATTACAAATTATCCTGAAGGGAACATTATTGTCTCTACCAGACTTCAGTCAGTTTGTTAGATTCAGTCGAGACAAAAGTGGTGAATAAACAGACGGCTACGACCTTCAGATTGTTGTATCAGTAGTTAAACTGGCTTCAGAACAATTGGTTATCTGAGCTCCAGAGGCTTTAACACCCACCAGCCCTTTTGGTCTTCTTGTTTAAATTTCTTCCTTATTTGTTAAGGTACTGCCTGGAGAAAGAAGACGTCAACGACTATGTGCTCTGCGATGTGATCGGCAAGATGGGCGCAGACAACCAGTGGAAGAGGGAGTGCTTCCGGGTGGTGGGAGACAACGAGAAGCCCCTCATGCTGCAGTCACTCTGGAAACCCAAGGAAGGCTTCTCCAGGCGGTTTGAAATCCAAATGAGAGCGAGCGTCGAAGAGCAAAGCTTAAAGGACAGAGACACAGTTACAGCAGGTATGTGCATCCGCAAACACCTTCATAGCTTTAGCTCATGTTCCTCATCTTCTTCAGAGACCAAAAATTGTGCCTGCTCTTACTGTTTTCATTACAACTCAGTGACCCTAACATGTGTACGCCTGGGTAATCAATCACTCAGTCTGTGTGGTGGTGGCATGGGGAGCCTTTATCCTTGTCTCTTATTGCAGGCTAACAGCCTTCATTGTCCAGCTTATCACCAGCTAGAACAGGGGAGATGGCAGGCATGTGAGAGAGGTCAGGAGGAAACAAAAGCTGCAGTGAGGGATAGAGGAGGTCAGTGCGGCCCCACTCTTATCTTTGTTTTATTGCAAGGGCCCATCAGGGCCCTGTGAAACATCGAGGCTCTGAGCAGCTCTTCACGCTGGGCCTGGTGCTGCCAGAAGGTGGCCACTCACTGCTCTGTTATTTTTCCTATCAGCGCTCACTTCCTGCTCACTGGGGACTGTGCAGCACTGTTGACTTTGGCACAAGTTTGATGTGGTTCTTTCTGCGTCAGTCCAATATGTTGGCTTTAAAATCAGTATTATTGTTAGTGCTACTGTTGTGTTGAGATCCCTCCTGATCACAGCTCACATAGTTCATTTTATATTTAAACTTATATGTTTGAACAGATGTTAGTTCAGGTGATTTACATTCTAATTATAACACCCAGTGGATCCAGGACTTACTGTCAGTGTTTCATGTTCCTCATTATTTTAAATGTTTAAGACAGCTGTAAAGAAATGTAGAAGAAGAACATGATATAGTGTATAAACACCTTATGTATCCCGATTCCGAACCACTAAAATAGTCTGGCACTTAAAATGGCAAAATGTCAAGATATAATGTGTTAATTAGCCTATTTAGTCTATCATGTGTGAGTTTAGTGTCCTTCAGTGGTCCTCTTGATGTTTGAGATGGTTTCCCACCATTGGAAGATTTTAATTCTAAGACAGTTCACATCTTACGTCTTAAAGATGGTCAGCGAAACCCTGGTTCTCATGGTTCTCACACGTGTGATCCAGCCTCCTCTCCTCTCAGTGACCGGGGGAAACTGCCCTTTACCTCTCCAGTGTGAGTGTTTTAGGCACTGAGCCCGGGCTGCCATACTAGTGCTGAACAATGTGGAAAACACCCACTTCCACAGCTGATAAGAGCAGCAGGACTGCCGGGTGTGAAGCCGGGGCCCGGTGGACATTCCTCTGTGCTTAATGGCTCCAAATGAGCTGAATAGTGTTTGTGTTACGTCAGGCCGACAGAGCGGCTGCTGGTATCAGATAGAGGTGGTCACATCTCACTTTCCAGGCACATTTCCTCCCTTTCCTTCTGATTATGTTCCATTTGAATTGGTGCCAGTGTAGTGAAGTGTTATGTTGCAGCCTGAGTGATTTCAGAGGGGATTTTGGTCATTGTGAATTTTTTTGGTTAATGTGTTTAACAAAATTGGTTTCACTTTGCTCCTCTTCTGTTTTTTTCTTGTTAAAATCTGGGAAAATGACTTAACCGTGGCTTTAGATGATGGTACGTCATTCTACACATTTACTGGTAACCGTATCAACGGCTAATTCTAAATGTCTAATAATTATGAATGTGTGATAATTCCCCAAACTTTCTTAGATGCAAAGAAGGGGTTTTAAGCATCTTTTTTGGTGAAATACAAGACACTTATTATAATGAATTACATGGAAAAGGAATGTGTTCTATAATCTTGGAAGGAAACATTTCTGACATGTAAGTTATTCCGCAATCAGTTTTTCTGTCATTAGAGAAATTAACTCTAGATTCAAAACTGTGGGTAAAGTTTCTTCAGACCCTTTTCTTTCATATTTGGAAAACGTTCAATTTTGTGGACTTTTATTTTAATCTAAAATGTAGAGTGATGCTGAATTGTTAAATTCTGCTCTAGAGTATGTTTATGTTTCTTATATTTTGTGTCTCTTGACATGTGAAGGATGAAGGATAAACTCTCATGTCGGACAGACATTAAATATTGGTTGGAATGAAAATCTGGTTGATGATATTTTAAATGTCTAGAATTTCACGTTGTGTAGACATTAACATTATAATGTTTTGCAGACACTGGTTTGTGTCCTCCATACCTCATGATTAATGTTGTTATTCTTTGTCAAGATGACGTTGGCATGAGATGTTTGGAATACATTGGATTCTGGTTACTTAACAACAACAACAACAACTTAACTGAAAACCAACAAAATATCAAAGTCATCTGTCAGTATTCTAATAATTCTTGGTCACTCAACATCACAACTTAAATTTACATTTTGTCCAAATCTTTGACTATAAGTGATAGTTCCTGTGTGCTTCTGCCCTTTCCAGACATCAGTTGTGCACTTTATCATCATGAACATGCAACAGTTTGGTTTTCATATTGTAAATCATAACATGCAGAGTTAAGGTGTAACGCTCTGTCTTCTTCCCATCCAGGTATCAACGCTCAGGCTCGAAAGCTGCAGAAGAGCCGCTCTAGAGTGACCTCGCTGTTTGTGGACGGCAGCGGGGAGGATGTGGACGGACTTGGGATCTGGAGGAGTCTTAGTGAGATGGACCTGCCAGCGATGGGGAAGGAGGCCAGCCGGGCCCAGCAGAGCACGCTCAGAGAGGATCCCGAGGCCGAGGCTGACAAGGAGGTGCTGCGGCTCGGCATGGAGAAGGAGGAGACAGAGAGCAGCGATGACAACACGACCCAGTACTCCATTCACCCACCCTTCGACTTCCCATACTTCCTCCTGCTGCAGGGCTACAGCCACAGACAGGTGAGTGGCAGATGTCAATTCAGTTTCATTCATATAGCCTAATATTACAAATTACAAATTTGTAATTGTAAAGTTTTTATATGATGATACACAGTACGTTTAAATGAATGGTTTCTCTGATCTTTCTATAAATTAAATTGTTGTTGTGTAGTGGAAAGTGTAAACGTAGGGCTCCTCATTCAAACAGCCAGTGCAATAAGGTCATTGAAGGCCTCACACAAGGTCCTTGAGTCTCCTGGCAGTGTATGTGTTGGCAGGCGGATGACAAACCCAAGCTTAGAAGAGACAACAGGATATACACTGGTACAGGAGAGTGTTGGATTGAACGTCTTACGTTAAGAACCTCAAGGAGAAAATCCCAGAGTCAGAGTCAGGTGGTTATAAGAGGTCAGAGAGGAAGGAAACACTTTGGATTTGGCTCATGCCTACAGAAGTGCGCTGACGCTCAAAGGGAAACAGAAGTGACCTCCACATAGGACGAGCTGTCTGTCATCATGTCCCAATGAAAAGACAGCATTCACCATACAGACAGAGGGAAACCTGCTGAGTCAGGACGTTTAAAACCAGGAGATAACCCTGATTAAAGACACTGTAGAGGAGGATAAACTACACAGGAGCTATTCTTAGAGTATATAAACAAACTCAGAAGGAGGGGTTATGTGCTGTTATCTACATACCAATGTATTTGATCAGTGTTTAGGTCCTGTCTACATGTGTACGGGTATTTTTTAAAAGGGATATTTCTCTCTTCTGTTTAAAATAATTCCTTGAATTCGCAATAGCTGCGACCATGTATGGGCATGCGCTACGTGTTGCACCTTCTAGCCAGTTGGTATGAACAGTTAATCAGCTGTTCTTTAGCTCATGACCAAACTTTCCACTAAATCTTTGGCAAGTCTGAGAATTCATTTTGAAGTCATGTGCCTTTTTGCAATAGGCCATTCCCCTTCCAAGCCCCACCCCCATCTCCTTAAGCAAAATGGCATGAACACATAGACACACCTTCACACACACACGGACTTGGCCTCAATGCCAAATTTCAGCCTCCTAGGGCAAAAACGGTGGCCACCAATGGGTGGAGAAGTTTTTTTGGACCGACCAACCAACCATTTTACAAAATATCTCCATCCACACTAGAATGCAAAAATGACTCTACTCAGTGGGCCAGTAGATAGCAATAAAGGCGACATCAACGATACATCAAATACCAGAGAAGAAGATTCTCAGTGTGGTATTAAAAAAGAAAATCAAACAATAGTTAAACAATAGTAGCTAATTATTTCTTCACTAATGCATATTAGATACCTCTTAATTTAACATCTTACATGGCACAAGGTGCTAGGGCAAAACCGAAGTGTGACGCATATATGGTAGGACCACGAGGTACGTAACAATCCTACACAAAATGTTAGTCCGCCATTGTTGTTGTTTCAAGCACAAGCTCATTACACAAAGCAAAAACTGGCATGCACAAATTGAGAATATGATGTCATCGTCTCTCAAATGCTTTGTTACACATGTCAAAAAAATCCACACCTTACAAGGCATTTTCAAAAATCTGACCTAAAACTCCGTTTACATATTGACTAGCGGCAAAAACGTAGACGAAAATATCCGTAACTCTACACAGAGCCTAAAAATATCACCTCCAAATCACAATTCCGTGGATTTGTGATGCACTCTGAATCACTGAGTTTACACTACTCATTTTTCACAGTAAACTAGAGTCAGACTGTGGTTGTTAGCCCGGCCCTATTCACAGGAACATGAAGCTCTTTTTTGCAACGCTGTTTATCACCGTCGGTGAAGATCTGCTGACTGTGCAGGATGCTGGTAGCACCACAGCAGGTTAAGAGTGGCAGCAGGACTAATTGTTTGTGGTTTATAATTGGGCATAGGAACTAAGAGTGTTTAAGTAGCCATTTAGATCTTTAAAGTTTGTGATTGAAACCATATCTTCACAATTGACAACACAATTAGGTCTGCATTTAATGATTATTTTCATTATTAATTAATTTCCCAATTATTTTCTTGATATTTGTCCATAAAATGTCATAAAAAAGTCAAAAGGGGTTCCCACAGCCCAAGGTCACTTTTTAAGATACCTTGTTTTATTTGACGAACAGTCCAAGAACCAACAGTATCTACTTTACTGTTGTATGTGACAAAGATTAACGTCACATCAGCAGAATTCAGAAGCTGGAATCTTTACATGTCTGACATTTTTGCTCAGAAAATTTCAAAAATAACTGATCATCAAAACAGTTGCCTTTTTATTTTCTGTCGACCAACTAATGGCTTTTAGTCAATTAATTGTTGCAGCTTTAAACAAAACTGGACTTGTTACTTGAAATTACTACTGGTTATATTTTAAGTAATGATACTTTTATGCAGAAAATTAGAACTTTTTAACCATGTTAGCAGCATGATTCTAGAGATGGGAGTCGTTCAGTCTGCCGGTCCACCACTTTGTACGGACTAAAGTATCTGCAGTTATTGGATGGATTCTGCTGAACTTTGATGCAACATCAGCATGTGAGCATGCTGTCATTAGTGTTTAGCTCAAAGCACACTGTGTCTACGTGCAGCCTCACAGAGCTGCGACCAGGGCTGAAGACTGTTAGTCTTATTAAAACTGTATTTACAGATTAACTTAATCTAAAATCTACAAGATTTCTGAGAACTCCTTCACTGGAATTTGAAAGCACAAGAGTCTTTTAGTCAAGTCAAGTCAAATTTATTTATAAAGCGCATTTCATACACAAGGTAAACTCAATGTGCTTTACAACAAATAATCAAAAATAAGTAACAAAGTGCAAGTGTAAAATAAAACAAGATAAACAAGTCCAATCAAACACACATGTTCACACACCTATACACACACTCACACACACCTTTTAATCCTCTTTATTTTATAATGGAAACATCACATGTAAAGAACTAATAAATAAAATAAGACAAAATTTCCTGGAGTGTGACAGAAAAAAGCAGTAAAAGCATTAGACACACTGAATATAAAAACTGGACTTTTGCTCAAGTAACAATTAACTTCTCATTTTTAAACTATTCAACTTCTTTAACCTTCGTTTGTTTGTAGAATATAACACACAAGGCAGCAATTCTACCCTCATATTGCTTGCCAGGCTACAGACTGTTACCAGTACAGATGATAATGTATCATCACATGACTAATTGTCTTAATGTGGTGAACCTGCAGTCACGGACATCACCGATGTCTCACTCATAAGCCCTTCCTTTCCTGTCTCCCATCACGCTGCCAGTGCAGGCTGATCATGCTGCTGTTTACACGCACACTGCTGGTTCACTTCCAAAATGTTACACAAGAAAATCAATCCTGTCCTACACTTTGACTGTCATTGGTTGTTGGATTACATAAAGAGCTGATGCAAGAATAGAAAATAAATCAGCAATTATTTTTGTAATTAATTCATTGTCAAGTCATTTTTCAAGCAACATTTCATGGTTCCATCTTCTCCAGTGTGAGAATTTGTCGCTTTGTATTACAGTATAATTAATATCTTTGGCTTTTTGACTGTTGGTCTGACAAAACAAGCAATTTGAAGATGCATACTTAAGTATTTTTAACATTATACAAACCAAATGATTCATTCTTAAAGTAAGTTTTGAAGCATTTGGAATGTCCTGCAGTAGTTTAAGCTTCTCAATTGTGAGGATTTGCTGCTTTTATTTGTCTTATGTGATTGTAAATTGAATATCTGGGTTTTGGGCTGCTAAACAGACAAAACCACAATATTTGAAAACAGCAAGTAGGAAATTGTGACACATTTTTCACCAGTTTCTTAGATTTTAGAGACCACATGATAAATTGATCAATAAAAATAGATGGCGGATTAATTGTGACCAACAATTAACTGTTTTTGTAACACTGAATTAAAAAAACACTTGTCTTTGCAGGATTTTGTCATCTACCTGATGAGTGGGACCACCACCATCTTCGGCTGCTGCAGGGAGCACTGTAACGGAGAGGATGAGGAAAGGTTAAAGGTCGACATCCTTCTCTTTGCTCCTGATGTGTTGCCTCAACACTGCTGTGTCAGACGCCTGGACTCTAACAACCCATCGTCCACAGGGGATCACAGAAAGACATTGACAATGCTGAAGCCCCTTCACGGTGCTCCCGTGACCAGAAACGGTTTCCTCCTTAAAGATGAGGTTGAACTGAACCCAGGGGACTTGGTGGGCTTGGGGAAACACTACCTGTTCATGTTTAAGGATCCTACCAGCACACCGGGATCCATCCAGAACCCTCCTTGGATGGCCACACTCTGCCCGAACTCTGACACAAAGACATCATCCTCTTGTTTATCATGTGGCTCCTCTGTCACCATCAAAAGGTTCCAGAGGAAGTCTTTACCTCCTCGTTGGAGGGACCTGGAGGGCACGGAGGCTTTGGTGATCTATGAGCTGGAGCAGGAGGAGAGGGTCCTGCAGGAGGTTTTGGATATGTTGGACCCCAGTGGAAATGAACCAAAGCTGACGCCTGCTTTCCTGCTGAGCCTCTGTATTCAGCATTCAGCGTCCACGTTTGAGCTGACAAACTTCAGACAGCTGCTGCTCCGGATAGCCAGTCAGGTCCAGCTCGTTATGTGGGTAAGAACGAATCTTCAGATAATTTACCTTTTGTGCCAGAGAATCTCAAATGTGTAAGTTTGTATTCAGCCTTATATTCCCCTGAGTGTGGCGATGAATGTAAAGTAATCAAATGTGCCATCAGAGTTGTATATAATGTACATAAGATGGATGATATTTGCTGGTAATGCAGGGATGAAATGGATATTTTCTTCACGTGTCCTCCCTCTTAGGAGAAGACAAAGGAGCTTGCAGCAATTCAGCCAGAAACGTGAGTAAACAAAGTGTTTTCCAGATCGCCCCAGAAATACATGACAATGAGCTACCACAGAGAGGAGCAGCAGCTGCTGCCTTCGATGATATACGACACCTCGAGTTTTACAGTCTGAATAAAAGAGGAGTTAAAGTCTGATTTTACAACTGTTTGCTCCTCTGGAAAACAATGAGGGTTTTTTTTTAAATGCAGGTTGTGCAAAGAGAGAATTTCCCACAGTCTCTTCGCTAAGAAAGTAGAAGCAACAGAGAGTTTTTCTCACTGAGCGCAGTGTTTCTTTCTTTATTATCATGTGTCACCAGATTAAACTTTGTCTGTGTCAGGACATGAGCAAAGTTATCAAAGTTATCCAAGTTCAACAAACTCAATAGACCTTTAATAGAAGTGAGTGAGAGATGGAGCAAATATCCAAAGAAGTGTAATATGTCTCTACCCTTACAAGAATACAAGTGTAAGGTATTAATAGCTGTAACTAATAATTAAATAACATTTTCATTCAATAAGTAAGCATATACATGTGTAATGCTTTGCAGTGGTTGCTAAGTTTGATGGTGGACATTGCAGTGCTAAATTGGAAGTAAATATAGTGTAAAGCTGTAGTGCAGTTATGGGTCAGATAATAAAATAGTGAAAAATGCCTGTCCAAGCTTTTTTTGTCCAAAAAAGGAGTGAAACACTCAAGGTGTTTACAATCATATAAAACAGAGGAAAGTAGCTTCACATTTAGAGGCTGGAAACATAATGTTTTCCCTTAATAAAAAAGCTATATAAGAATTGATCATCAAAATTGATTTTGATCAACGTTTAGTCATTTAAGTAATCGATTCATCAACTAATCATTTCAGCAAAACTAACAGTAGGATTGTCCCATTTTCACAAGACATTTTGAGATGTTATTTTAGGACAAGCAATGACATTCAAAATGGCTTCATGAGGAAAGTGGAATGTTGCTGTACAAGTCTGACTGCAGATAAAAATTTTGCTGATTTGTAGAAATATTAGAGGAAGTCCGAAACAGGTTAACTGGAGGATAAACAGAGCACTTATGTGGAGGTTTTAGATGAAACTAAAAAAACGTTCAACTTACTATCTTTACTATCGCACTATTTTAAAATTGCAGGTTTAGATTGTGTCACTTACACAACAAACCAAATAAATATTATAGACTTATTCAAGTCAGGTTTACTGATATCTGTTGTCACAACAGACAACACGTTGCAAGTAAAACCTAGGGCTGCATGAACTGTATTTAAATAGTATGCACACAAACTATTTTACGTTATTTTTTTAGGTGTGATGACAACTACAAATACTATAACTTATACCTTTCATTAAGAAGTATTGTTGTAATTCAGGTATCTTTTTTAATCGACCAAAAGTATTTGAATTAACTTCAACTTTAAAGTGAATGTCTGCATAGTTTACAGGTTAAAATACATCAGACATACAAATATGAGGTTAAAATACAAAAGAAGGCAGAATCCCAAATATAAAGGTAAGAATGTTAATATAAACAGAATTAAAGTAATTAGTTATCAAAGTAGAAGTGATGGATGTTTATGCAGCCCATGAAATTTGGAAAAAAAGATGGCTTTTAAACTTTTAAGCCCAGATTTGAAAATCAGCACAAAGCCTGCCCCCCGTAATTGAAGCAGAAGTTGCTTGACTGGAAAATGCTCTACTCCTGAAATAGTTTTTGTTTAATCTGAAAAAAGTTAAATAACCAGCCTCAAGAGATCTAGCCAGTGTGCAGACATCAGGACAGGTGTAACATGATCACACTCTTTAAGTCTTGTAAGACTCATCGTGGTCGTTGTGAGTCGGCCAGAGCAAAGTGCATTCCGTAGTTGTTTCTGGGTGTTATAAAAGTCTGTACAAAGATTTCTGACTGGTGTCTGAATTGGATAAAGTGGGTTTTGTCTGTGAAGTGTCAAAAAAGACAAATTCACTGCTAATCTCTGTGTTTTTATATCAGGAGCTCCAGTGACGGGCAGCCTGAGCATTTTCAGCTGCTCAGCATGGAGGAGCTGATCCCAGGTCTGCAGCCTCTGGTGCTGTGGATGGCCAACTCCATCGAACTGCTGCACTTCATCCAGCATGAAGTCCCTCAGCTGCTGCCCTGGAGGCAGGACCAGGAGGACCAAGGTGGACAGTAACACAGCGTGACCTTTAACTTGATTGTTTTTCTATCATAGCTGTTAGAGAGTGTTATATGTGATTTTAAAATGTGTTTGTATGTGTTGTCAGGACTGTTGGACTCTGAGATCTCCTCCACTCGGACAGCCTGTGAGGAAGCCATGACAGTCCTGGAAGAAGTCATCATGTTCACCTTCCAGCAGACTGTCTACTATCTAACAAAGGTTGGCCGACACATTAATATACGACACATAAACACACTCATTAAGTGAAATCAGCTTTTTCACATCCTTTTTGACCTCTAAAATCTTAGCGTCGGTCACATGTGAAGCAGGAAACTGGACTGTGTAAACACCACATTCTGTTTTCATTGAGCATATTCCAGATAGAAAACACAATAACAGAATGGAAACACCAACTCTGTCTGGCACTCTCAGTCAGGAAAGGCCTGTGAGATAGTGAGCAGGGTGTCTTTTCCACTGAATGCAATATAAACAAAAAGACAATCTCGTTTCTCAAGGTTTCACTAGTTTGTTGCATAACAAAACCAGAATGGCTGATTTGATGAGAGCCACTATGTGAACATCTGAAGGTCTTTTTTAGGTCTTGCAGTTGTAGTATTGAATTGCTAAGAGTTAAGTCAAATTTATTTTTTGAGCCAATTTAAAAAATAATAGACCAAAGTGCTTTAATAGAGAAATTTAAATGATTAAAACAAAAATATATACATAAAATACTGTACCAGACAAAACTAAAGTATTTTATTGTTATAATGATAATTAATGGGACTCAAACTGTAAAACAAATTGTAAAACGTAGGCTCTTTAGCCTGGTTTTTATCGTGTTGATACATTGGGTAGGATCTGACAGTGAAGGTAAACTGTTCCACAATCTGGGAGCAGCAAATGGAGAAAGCTCGACCATTTTTGTATTTTGACTGGGAATGCGAAAGGGTGAGGAGTAACTGAACAGAAGATCTGAGTAGTCTGGACATAGAATATGAAGACATCAGATATGTAGGCTGGTACCAAACAAGGCAGCACTTCAAAAACATTTTATTTTAACTTAGCTGGAGCTAATTGTTGACCATTCAACATTCAACATCTTCTTCATCTCCTCATTATGTGTTTCACTTGGTTGCGGGGAAAGGGCAGCTGTGTGTCATCAGCTTAGCGATGATAATGGATGTAGAACTGTCATAAAACCCCAGTGGAAACCTATATAATGACAATAAAATGGGGCCTATGATGTAGCCTTGGGGTACACCACTACATAACTTACACGATCTATGTTACTGAGATAATTTATACCACTCTAAGGCCTTAAAAGCTATATAAAGACTTGAAATGTATCTTAAATGTGTGTCTGGGTTTGTTCTGTGACAGTCAACAGTCATCTCCTCTGTTTTACAGCCCAAACAGGCCACTCCCAGACAAGATTTATGTGACTTCTCCATCTTAAAAATGCTTATTAAAGGCTGTCTGGTTCGTGTAGAATCAAGTCGAGGTCCCAGCAGCAGAGTCTGTAGAAACACCACCACTCTGCACAGTGACTGGTTGAGGAAGGAAGGGAAGGAAGCAGGAACAGTCTGTGCTGTTGTTGTGAATACTCAGACATATTTCAACTGCCTGTGCTGAAAAAAAGAGACATTTTGCGGTACAGTTTATGCTCTTTAGTCTGAAAAAAAGATGTGGCTTTTTCAGAGGCAGCTTTTCAGTATGCTATCATGTTTATTTGTCACTTTTGAGGCTTGTTAATCTAGCAGTCCCAGCGTTTTTTAGGACAGTAACATGTATTGCAATGTCTTTCTAACAGTGTATTACAAAGTCTGTGTATGTGTTTGCTGGTAACTATTTTTCTGGTGGACAGAAAAAGAGGATATGCTTCCTGTAGAGGAAGACGAACTGTCATCAGAGAAACACCCAGTGGGGGAAAGGAAGGGAGGGGAAAAATGTGTTTCTGTTAATTTCCTGTGAAATTTGACTCAACTGTGTTTGCAATTTAAAGAAATAATGTCATCACTTCTTCTGTTTGTTCTGGCAAAGTTGTTTTAAAAATAGAATATGAATTAAACTTGGCCAAAGGGCATTACTGTAATGCTGCTATTAAATACACCACAATGATCAGTAGAACAAAAATGAAGATATGTGGGAAAATAGATCTTTTTTTCTGTGGCATACTGGGCCATACAGATGTGTTAAAACACAATTAACAGTCTGTAAAAATCCTCAGATCCTTACTGTATACTATGAGCTGATCTGTTGCCTCAGGCATGCAGGGTTATTGTCATCTTTATGGCCTCTTACAGTGTGTCTGAGGTTATTATCCTAGTCATGGTGTGTGTGTGTGTGTGTGTGTGTGTGTGTGTGTGTGTGTACCTAGCAGGTGATGTCATACATTGTAAAACAATGGCAGAACTGTGTCAGAAGGAGTAGTGATAAGAGCCGGATCTGTGTGAGGACTGACAATGAGGTTGTGTTCAATAAAACAGCTTACAAGATGATTTTGCAGTGTTTGCAGAACTGTCTTGTTCCTCCTGATATTTATATATCTGCTTTTTAAGATAGGAATGTAATTATAAAATGCACAAAAGGCCAAACTACTTCTCAATAATTTCATTTGGTTATTCTTGAATAACTTATATCTTGGCAATGGTTTGTTAATGTTAAAGAACACATTTCTACAGGGCACCAGTATGCTTTATCACAGCTTGCTGTGTGTTATTTGTTTTAATCCACGTTTTAGAGCAGGTTTTGTATCTAAAATGACTCAAATTGCAGTGTAATTGTAGGATACCGTTTTTTTTTTTTTAAATTTCTTTCAGCTGGCCTTTTGTGTTGTAAAACATGAGCTTCCTTACAGTGTTTCTTGCACACTCTCTGAATGTCTTCCTCTCTTGACTTTGAGCCATTATGTCCTGTCCTAACAGAAAAACAACATTATTTCCTTGGTAACTTTACTGCACCATACTTCATATAATCAGGAATCACATGTAGGAGAGGGAATGTTTTGTCTACGTGTTATAGTTCATGTGCTTCAGTGACTCTTAGTATCAGCCTTATCACATTTGACTCCCATGGTGCATTAACAGTGCTTATCCAGTACTTTGTACAGTGTGCAGTGCAACATCCAGCTGGTCTTTACAGGAGAGATGTAACCTGTCACCACCTCTCTCCACAGAGCATGTATTCAGCGCTGCCTGGCCTGCTGGATGGGAACCCGTTCTCAGAGAGTGGTCAGCTGCGAGTGCCCGATGGACTCAACAGCATCCTGGAAGTGCTGAAGGAGGCGCTGAAGCTTCTTACAGCCTTCCAGGTCCATCCAGACATCTCGTTACAACTCTGTGCCTACCTGTTCTTCTTCATCAACGCATCGCTGTTCAACACCCTAATGGAGAGAGGTAAGACTTCAGCTCATTTTTCCACATTAGAAAACCTGTTAGACCAGTTTTACTCTTTTGTTTTAGCCACTACTTTGGTTCAGACTGAAATAGTTTAACAACTCATCTAATGAGTTGCCACAAAGTTTTGTGTAAACATTCATGTTCCCCAGAGGATGAATCCTACTGTCTTTGATGATCCACTGGCTTTTCTTGTAGCGACACCAAGGGGTTAACATTTGTTATTTTAAGTGAATTGTTCAGACAAATATTGCATAGATTACCATGAAATTTGGTACAAGCATTCATGTTCCCTTCAGGTTGAACTGTAATAACTTTGGGGATCCATTAATGTTTCATCTGTCGTCATTACCAGGCCAAAATGTCCATGCGTCTGGGGCTGGTTAATGACCAAATAACAACAAATCCAATGATATTCTCATCAACCTCTTTGTGTTTAGTCCTAAATTGCAAATGTTAGCATGCTAACACGCTGAAATAAGACAGTAGACGTGTTAGCAGTGTCATTGTGAACATGTTAGCATGCTAATGTTAGCATTTAGCAAAACAGCACAGCCTCAAACAGCTGCTAGCAACATCATATCTCTAAACTGATTTAGTGAGAATTTGATATGATTACGGTATTATGTTGTTTATTATTATTATATGTGTAGCAGTATATTATGTATGTGCACTACATTAATTATTAACGTGCAGTATATTATTTTCAAACAGGTGTCAGCACATTTCCTGACACAGATACCTTTTGTTTTAGACTGCATTTGCTACTAAACTGTATTTCTTGCCTATATTCTTGTTTGTTTTTTTTTTTAAAAAACACATTAACTTATTGCAGCATTTCAATGTAAACAGGCTAATGGCATTAATACTACTACTACAACTGCTATATATAACTTTTATCAAATCCCTGTACTTCTACTGAATGTAAAAACTGTATTGGTAAGTTGTACATCAATATCATGTCTAATTCTGACTGATTTGTTCTTCAGGATCTGTCGCTGGGTTCTACCAGTGGTCCCGAGGTGTTCAGATCCGGGCCAACCTGGACCTGCTGATGGACTGGATCCAGAGCATCGGTCTGGGCGATCTGGCCAACGAATTCTTCCAGAAGCTCTCTGCTGCTGTCAATCTGCTGGCCACACCCAAAGAGACCCTCCTGCAGGTCAGAGGACATCCGTTTCTCCTTTCCTGTTTGTCTCTCCATGGGCGGGTGAAGCTTCCAGAGTCGAGTCATGTTTGCGTCAGCATGAATGTTTTCATTGTCTCAAAAGTGTCAGTGTAACATTAGTTATGCATGTTTATGTTTGAGGTGCAAAATGTTTCACCTAACCCTTCCCGCTGCTCCATGTTATCTTTTCTACAGATTCTTATTGCTGCAAAATGTTGTGATAACCGTGACTAATAATCCCATAAAGTCTGTGGAAGCATGTTACTGGTTAATGGTTATAGTGGTACTGGTGCACTTAAACTCTCACAGTGCCAGTCACATTGATCAGATATGAGGAAACAGCAGGAACGGTCAATCAGTAAAATGATCAACCCATGACATCATGGTGCCAATGAAGTTTTGGCCACCACTTATCTTAATTACAATTACAGTGACCTGAATATATCCTCTTACCCAGAGTATTTATGTAATATATTATCATCTTAAATCATTTTCATTATGTATAATTAAGTGAAAACATTTATCTAAGAGCTCAAGTGGAATTTTAATGTTCAAAGACACAGAGGTACATTAGAGTAAAGGCATTTCATACCCTTTGTTTCCTGTATGCTCAGGAATAACACACTGCGCTATATCACTCAGACATCACTAGAACAACAACCTTATAAATGTGTTTAGTCTTTGCCGCACAGTGGTAGCTTGCCAACTTAACATTTAATCCCTCCTTAAGCACACCATTCTCTTGGTTACCCATTCAGATCTTGTTTACACTTCGTACCACAGAAGGAAGCTGAGCTCTCACTTGGCTGGTTATTAAACACATAAAGAGAAACCGTCAGATAAGGTGACACAGGTATGACTGATGAGAAACAAAGGTGATACAAAAGGTCATGAACAACTTCTCAAAGTACAGGTATGATGTCATGGAACCTGCTGAATGTTTTTGTGATGAAGTAGCCATGTACTTTTAATTGTGTGCTTTAAATAGAGAGGCTATGAATAGAAAAGGCAGCTTATATGTACTGTACATGACGCCATCAAATCAATTTTATGTACAGTATAATCCTAGAATATGCCTTTCAGATCAAAGCTTGCCTGTGATTCTTTGTGATGCAGTGAGAGCATTACTTCTTGGGTTTTTCCAGTGTGGGACATAACATAGTGTGAACTGTAAACCAAAGGGACAGAAAGACAGTTTAATGTAAGATGGATGGAGGGTTGGGTTGGTCAGGAGTGGTCACAACATTTTCCATAAAGGTCTTTAAACAACTTCGTATAGAAAAGTAGTTCCCAACTTTCTTTGTCTGAGAGGCCCACACAGCCATTAGTGATAAAGTAATGCGTAGAAAAATGGACTGAAAGCTTAATATTTCTCGAACACTATAACCAACATATCCATTACTTCGAACTATTTCAGCTCTTTATAAAAACACTGACGCCATGTTTTGATTTTTTTATCTTTGGAGCTGGAGTGTTTTATCACACTCGCAGAACGTAAAGTGCAGTAAAAGGAAAACGTAATCGTTCCTTGTGCTGGGTCGAAAAGTTTGAATTCTCTATATCATACAAATTGGTTCTGAGGTAAAAAAAAAAAAAAACTTCTGAAGAGTACCACCTGTGCTGCGTTCACAGACCCACAAAAGTATTAAGAGAGGTGACACAGAATGATAAACAAGCACACACAGCCTGTCCAAAGTTACAGTCCATTTGGTCATTCTTTTGTCTTTTACACAGATGTGTGGATGTGTTTTTAAAGTCAAATCACAGTTTCTGCTTTCTTAGATGAGTTCATTCGTTGAGCTTATCACATACTTCTCAACAACTGCCTGAGTATTCCTGAGGTACAAGTATAAGTTCCTCTGGTTTGGAATGAGAGATGAGATGAGATGATAAAGATATTTGAGCTGACTACAGAACTTAATCTGTTCCTGCTCTGTGTCAGTGGGATCTACCCTCGATATTTGGAGGAACTGGGTTAAGTATGAGACCCAGTTTCTCACACCTGTTTTGACCATATGACTCACAGTCATGATACCAGCCTGAAACATCTCCGGGGCACAGCACAGCTTCAGCCCCCCTCATTACACAGCTGTTGAGGGCTGTGTCTCGTCTGTACATGGGATTGGATGGTTGCTAAGAAGCTGGTGGTTTTATGTATCCCTGCCCTGGCATGAGGTCACTTTGTGGCTGCTGCGACAGAGTACACACCCTTGACTGATTTTTCCATCTGGAGTTCTGGGCTTTTAAGAACTGAAGTGGCTCACTGGCACAGTTGTAAATTACCCCAGAGGGATGTGGCGTCGCTTGTTTTGCCAGCAGTTATGGAGAACACAACATCTGAGGAGTAATTTTAGCTGCTGAGCATTAAATCTCAGACATAACAAACAGAGACATTTTTACATTTCTGCAGTTTATAAGCAGCTTTTAAACCTCACCTTCTGTTGAGCTCAGAGGCGTCTGCGTTATAAGAGAAGGGCAGGGACACAACAACATTTAACTTATGGTTTCTGATGTGGCCCCTGCATGTCTGGGCAAATGCCTCCTTCCACCAATTCATCTGGAAACTGACTGAATGAACTATGTAATGTTTTTAATCGTCACATGAACATCACTGGTGGGTGACTCACCTGTTTCCTTATCCTTGAGCTACTTTATGCTGTCATCAGAAGATCAAATATTATCTATCTTGTGTGAGTTATATTTCATGATAAGAAACCTGAGAGGGTGAGCAGAGAGATAATTAAAAGTTTACACTTCTCACGCTGCACAGAACAGGAATGACGTGCTAATTATAACACTCACCTTTTATTGGTGTGCAGAGTAAACACAGGTACAGAGCTTTGAAGAAAAGCTGCTTTGATAAGAAATAAGTTGAAGTGCTTCACCAGTGAGAAATATTTTCTCAGGAGGCTTTGTTACCACAAGGACAAAAACCATTTACTAGATCATATAATTGGTTTAAAAATACTCTGCATGCAAATGAGAGAGTAGCAGTGACTGTTTCCTCATATGGAAACAAGAATGATGGGAAAATGCTTGTTTCTCCCTCCCTGTCATTCTCACAATGACTACAAAGAGCGTCTGTGGCTCGTTCTTTAAGATTAAAGCATCACTTTTACAATCCTGCATTTGAAGTTGTCGAAGGGTTTTAGAATACGTGTGCTTTATGTCTCTCAATGTTTGCCTTTTGTTGTTTATATGTTTATCCAGGCGTCCTGGGCGTCTCTCAGGACTGAGTTTGCTGCCCTGAACGCTGCTCAGCTTCACCACATGCTGAGAGAATACAGCTCTGGTAAAGCCTGTCCCACTGGATGGACCCCGTCACCGGATGACGCAGAAGACACTGTCAGGACGGGTGAGTAATGTAGACGTAGACCATCCTTGTGTTAAACGTTTAATGATTAAGATCATAGACAGAGACATAATGTACAGATATCTTTATAGTCACTTAGGTGTTGGACTTTTTGTTGGAGAAAACAAGCTTTTTTAAGAAGTCACTCTGGGCTCTGGTTAACTGGGATTGTGATTTTTTTTAGGTGAATTTTGCCCAGGGTTCCCACGAATCCTACGAAGTCATAAAAGTCACAGGGCCTTGATTGGTATTAAAATGTCTAAAATCAATCTTTTGAAAGTCTTCAAAATGCTCAGATATGGCAAGTAGGTTTTATAAATTGTTGACTTTCAGTTGCATTAAAAAATCTAAAAATAATTGGTAACATCACACGATGGGAATCAAGGCAGTGAAATCCCACATGCTGAGTGAGAAACACAAAATGGCCAAGAAATGCAGCCAACAAAGGCCAGGAATTTCCCAGAAAAGGCTTGTTTTATATCACAGTAAACATTTGGGCAAAACTGTCCCTAACCCTAAGTCATTGATGTTGGTTCTTTTTTTTTCTCTCTTTAATTTTGGTTGTTGCAAACTTGGTCTTAAATTTATTTCCTAGTGGCATTAAAAAAGTCATAAAAAGTCTTAAATTTAATTTGCCTTAAAATGTAGGAACCCTGTTTGACATTAAAATACTGATTAATTGAAAAAAAACATTGGCAGATGGAGCAATAATGAAAAAAAAATAGTTGTAGCTTTAGAACATTCTTTCTCTCCTTCTGTATGACTCTGGAGCCATGTAAATAATATAATAGATACTATAGAATAGGAAAAAAAAAAGATTAGTCATCATCAGTTCGGTTTGTATAACATACACGTCTTACAAGTGCATCAGCACTTTTAGTGTTCATAAATACACATTTGTTAATATATACGTATTTGTTCTGAATATTAAAAACTAGATGAAAATCAGATTAAACCAAAAGCTTTACCTGACCTGTCCTTTTCTAGACGACTGTGTTTACTGTAAACTGCAGTAACCAGACTCCTCTCTCAGCAGGAATCAGAACCATCTATTGTGTAGTCTGCATGTCCTAACTTGACTGTATTCATGCTTCACTGCACAATACCTCACGATAAATAACTCAACAAGTGTAATAACTGAGCTGAACGGTGCTTAGAAGCTCTGAGGGAAGCACACCGTTGCTAAAAAATCAATCATGATCTAATGAAACAATGGGGAGCATATCTATGTTTCCAGGGTTCTATGTTTCCCGGGTTCTATGTTCCCCACTTAATCCTGCAAAAAAGGTTCTTTGTTCCCCGCTTACACAAAAAAGGTTCTATGTTGCCCGCTCAACCAAGCGGGAAACATAGAACCTTTTTTGCAGGGTTAAGTGGGGAACATAGAACCCGGGAAACAGAACCCTGGAAACATAGGGATGACCCCAAACAATGTGCTCCTACTCTCTGCCAACTCATTCTACTTAAGATGTTACGGTCTTGAAGAGGAGGCAGCAGGTTTGGACCTGCAGACAGCAAAAGAGGCAGCTGGGTGAAATCAAAAAAATATTTCAAAAAGTTTACAGTCCCAAAATCAGGCAGGCACAGGAAAGCAGGTAAGAGAACTCCAAGCCAAATATGAAGACGATCTGCCAAATAATAAAGGAACTGGGCAGGTTTTAGTAGGGAGACACTTACTGGGGAAGTGAGAACAGAGCTGCATTCACCCCCGACAAAACGTAGCAAAACATTTATTTAAACAGAAATAGTAATGTGTTGACAGTGCCCTTATCGATAGGGCATAAAGGGTCACTGAATGGAGTATGAAAATGATATGAATCATATGTTATGACCTTCACAAGCACCAGATCTCAACCCAGTTGAACACCTATGGAAGATTTTTTTTTTTTTTTTTTGTTAATAAAAAAATAAATAGTTTCCATTGTTTATTGGTTCATTTTTGTTCATGTTTATTTATTTCATATTGTCTCATTTATTTATTTAATACTGAACATTTTGGGACTCATTTAAAAAAAAATCTGTATTTTTTTCTTTTTAAATAATAATTAAAATAATACAGATAGTTACAAGTACACTTTCACACTGATACACTGTATTTTTATTCCTTTAGAGTAATCCTGTCCCGTCAGTCTGTCCCCACCAATTAGCCTCATTCCACAGCTTCCTCTCAAATCCACCTCTCCCAGCAGGACAGTCGCTGCCTCGCTCTCACCTGTTTTCACCTCTTATCCTCTCACCGACTGCACCCTGCTGCGTAAAAAAACACCACTGACTGCAACAGTTGCATCAGTCCTGTACTTTATTCACAGCTTTTAATTAGGTCTTAACCCAAATACAGCAGCTTTACTTGAAAGTTAGAGGATGGAGTTTCATTGGAAAGCTGTAAATGAAGATCGGGTTGTTTGTGATGGATGACCTTTCTCTTCTTCCTGCAGCAAACATCCTGGAGAGTTTCGACAGCCACCCGCCTCTCATCTTGCCGAGCACCACGTTTCACCTGGAGCTTGGTAAACCCATCGTGGAGCCCGCTCTGTTTGAACAGCTCGGTCATCTGCAGGAGTTCATTCGCCGACTCCCCCGCAGTGAAACCCAAGCCGAGCCCGCTGTAGAGGAACAGGTAACAAGTCCTCTGACCCCAGAGCAGGAAATGAGACACCTTAATGTTTCTACATCTGTTATTGATTGACTTTATGTCCCTCAGGCTCTCAATGGGACAACCACAGACAGCCAGTCTATGACCCCACCCTCCGTCAGGGTCTTGCAGGATCCTGCCCATCAGGAGGTCTCTGACCCTGTTACCTGCCCGTCCCCTGAGGCAGACCTGGGCTGCACCTCCCCTTCAGAGCCGGCTCAGGCCCGAGGATCTCACGGTGACCTGAGCAGCTGTGAGGCAGTCCTGACCCAGAAGCTGAAGAACCTGGAGCTGCAGAACACCCTTCCAGGACAGGCCGACATGGGCTACCACAAGAGCCTGGCGCTGGACCCGTCCTGCCTGCTGACGCCACCCAACACCCCTCAGGGTATGGAGCTGGCCGAGCTGGAGGTGGATCTGCAGGAGGGCGCCCGACAGCAAAAGAAAGGTAACTGAACAGGCAGAAGACAAAAGATCTGCACACTTTACTGATAGGCCCCAGTAAATCTAATTTACCTTCATCAGAGATCTTTGTCACAGATTGTTTAGTAGACACCACAGAACAGAATAAAGGCACGATGCAAACACAGTCATCACTCAGGTGGTCAGTGCACTCAGACTGGACCAACAGAGCAGAGCTGGATAAGACTGTCTGATGCTCCTATGTGGGGTACAAAGCATTCCTCTATGGAAATAAGAAAAAAAAACAGTAAGAAACAATATATATTATCCACCTTATTCCTGAGGGCACTACTTTAAAAATGATTATGTGCACAACTTCCTGTGGGATAGCGGAAGTAGCAGTAAGCTAGTTAGTCCCATAGACTGTCTGTGGTTAGTCCCAGTGGCTACTCTTGGTGGCTAACCGCCAACACTGGTTTTTTTCGAAAGTAATTTGCCTCAGTTCAGCAAATACTGATTTACTTTTGAACAAATCTTTAACTAATATTAACCAGTCTAAGCTAAATTTTTGTCTTCAGCAACTGTGTGTTGAACATGTAACCAGAACAAAGAGGGATTGTTCCTGTTGCCAAAGGTACCATTGATATGAGAAACAAAACCACAAGAGTTTCACGAGACATAGCGAAATCAGAAAATCCAGTAGATACATTTCACTCAAAATCACCTCAGTGGTGTGGCTAGAGAAGAACTATCAGGAGAATACCAAAGTTGGCAGGGTTCATGATCTAGGGATCATGAATGTTTGTAGAAAAGTAAAAGACTGACAGACTGACATTACTAACAATCAGATAAATCCATAATGAAAATAGCTGTTAGTTGCAGCACTTATGTAAAGTATTGAAATTACATTAAATTAAAAGAATATACATTTAAAACAAACATGGCCTCCCAGATCCTTTAAAGTGGTCCTTTAAAGCCTCTAACAGCTGAATACCATCAACTGAAACCTGACAACCGAAGATGATAATTGAGAGTTCAGTGTGCACATACAAAGAGACCATGAAACAAAGAGGAAACCACAAGTGATGAGAAACCGACAGCATCTCAAAAGGCCCATTCATGGCTTCACTTACACACAGCAGGTTCTGATTCAGATGACACACAGCTCTGTCACTGAGAATATGACCGCCTCACTTCAAACTTTGTCCCCTGTTACTAACGTCTGGAATGAGGTCACGTCTTAAAACCTCATTCACCTCCTCTGACTGAATCTATTAAGGGAAGTATTTAGTGACTTGACCTTGAGGACCTGCCGCATATTTGTCCAAGTCCACATAAAGGTAGCCCCGACATAAAAGAGGTGGAGCGCCTTCTCAGTCCTCCCTTCATCTTTTTACTGACTCCGGCGGTCAGGAATTTCAAGTGGAAGGCTGTGCAGGGTGGGCTCGCTCTGTAAAGGAAAGAGTGTTTCCTCTCCCGCCCCGATTGTTTTTGGACGCCTCCGTCATGAGGTCATCTGTAGGAGTGAAAGGGAGTGAGAGGGAGTCACTGTGAGAGTCAACTACTTCACTTTTTATGTAGGGAAACAGAAACTAAAATGATAATGCAGCATGTCAGACCTATCTGTGGAAAATGTACTTAAGCTTCAAGTTTCGAAATGGCAGCGATTTACCGTTACCCCACATTTTTTGACGTCAGCCTTTGTCAGCTTTGGCCACTGTTGCATGGATGTCACCAGTGGTGGAAAAAATACTCTAAAATATACCTAAACAGGGTGCAGCAGGTCCTTAAAAGGTCTGAAGGTCTTTTAAAAATATTAGGCCTTAAAAGTAATTAAACAGTCTTAAATTTTAATATGTGAAGTCTTAATTGCCACAAACATTTTAGCTGATTTTATTTATCCATCTACATTTCTTATTAATGAGTCAAGCTCTTTTGCATGAAAGTCTGATGTTACAAATCTAATCGAACCCGAATCGTATACTGTCTTTTTACCCTAAACTTGCACTTACCTATTGGCAAAATGCAGATTAACCTTACTCGCCCTAATAACCATATTCCTACATATACTATTTACCTCTATACTTACCTGCAATGCTTGAATAAGAAGATGATTCGTCCAAAAATCAGTCTTAATTTGGGTTAAAACCGATCTTGAAAAGACCTTTAAAAAGCATTAAATTTAAGTGTCTGATACCAGTAGAGATCTTCTCAAAGTACTAAAAGTAAAAATACTCATTATGTAGAATGGCCCATTTTAGAATAATGTTAATGAATTATAATTATTGGTGCATTAATATGTACATTACTCTAATGTTGCAGCTGGTAAAGGTGGAGCTTATTTTACCACAATATATACGAACCCCCACCAAAGGATCAATTAAATCTTATGTTTATTAGTAATAATGCATTATAATTGATTTGTTGTTTTTATTTAATAATCTGATACTGTAAGTAACTAAAGGTATTAAATAAATGTAGTGGAGTAAATATTTCCCTCTAATGTGTAGTAAAGTAGAAATATAAAATAGCAGAAAATGGAAATACAAGAACCTCAAATTTGTACGTTGTACAAGTACAGTTCTCGAGTACATGCACTTAGTTACTTTCCACCTCTGGATATTACTTTGACCATGTGGTGGTTGTTACTGTATCAACGTTATTCAGTTTTCAAAATAGGTGGAAGAACAGCAAAGTATCTGGCAATAAATCAGGTCTATATCCATTACATTTTCTGGTGACCTTTGATAGATGTTTTTAGTGTTAGTAATTCTGAAAAGAAGGTGAGATAAATGTACCTGATAATCACTGGATGCAGTATTTGTCTGTTTATATCCAGGTACCATCAACAGAGGTACAGCAGATTGAAGCTCATGGTTTCTGACACAGTTGAGCAGAAAATGTGACCATACTGTGCCTGGAGATTCATCAAAAATATGCGGCATCTAAATATTGTCACCTTTCTTTCACCTGATTTAAATATTGGATAATGGTGTTAATGATAGCAAAAGTCACATGTACAAACAAACAAACAAACAAAATACAGGGTGGAATAATGCGTGCCATTTTTGGACCCATCATGCTGTTAGGTTTATATTTCACTCAGAAAGTGGAAGCTAGTTAGCTTAGCTTTCTAACGTTAGTTCCCACTATATGTTTTTCCTCAACTTACTTAAAGGAAACAGTCATTTACAATAATATGGACCAAAAGGTCTTGGAATATTGAGATGTATTATGAAGGAGTAAATTTCAGTACAGACATAGTCAGTCTGAGACCAAAAAATCATGGTCACAAATACTCACACAAGTCAAAACAAACATAATTCAGGATATTAACGCTGATATCTTAAAAAGTCAGAAGTTTAATTGTTTGTTTAGAGTCAGGAGAGAGGAGGCTGGTTGGTCCAGAGGCTATCCTCAGATCTGAACCAGACCTTCAGAAACACTTTTGGTCACATGTGATTGTGTTTGTGTTTAAGAGGTTCAACCTGTGGTAATGTGCTCCCTCACAGACCCCCCCACTGTGGCTGTGTGCTGTTACAGAAAGGCTTTAAAGCTGAAGGATTTGTTGATCCTAATCAGACGTCTTTACTCTCATTGGTTACATGTTGTATTATGTTTTCTCTGTTAGTGCCTTTTTAAAGTAATTTGTTTAAAGGGTTTGAGGATTACACTGAAACAGAGCCATCTGGCACCATCTCTGTTTGTATATCTGTCACACGATTAATTGATTAATTAGGAAAATAATGTTAATAAATAATTTAAGTAATTTATAATTCTTTTCTTACCACTGTGAAAAATAATGGCAGAAAACTATGGCTTGTCTTTACTTTTGTCAGCAGTTGATTCATATCCAGGATTCGCTACTTGTCACTGATTTTCTAAGCTAAAAGGAAAATTTTTACCTTTTTATATAAAATATTTGACAAATTCTCATTAGAAATAAGAAAATAAGTCAATTCTTAACACAGTTTTCAGCTATTATTGAAATAATTTTTTCCACCCTGTTGGGAGCTCTGTATATCATCCACCATGTGTAGCCATACCTTGGCCTCCAGTGTATCTACCTCTGTGGTTTTGGCTAACGGCTAATGTTATTTTGAAAGTTTGGTAATCCTTTAATCTGGCCCCAAGAATTACAGAGAGGTGGTGATGTCAGGAGAGAAAAGAGCAGTGGCCGATCCGTCATGGGAATTTACAGTTGGGTTGGTGCGTGGAATCTTAATCGGTGGCGGCATTGTTCGGGGCAGGTCCTGCGTGGGGGGCAGACAGGCTGCATGTTGGGAAAAGGCGGAGGGAGGGGAGGGGTGGGGGGTTTGTAGAGCAGGAGCTGCAGGGGTGGGAACAGGGTGGGGTTTTTTTTGGGAATGCTACTGTTGCTGAGTTGTTGTTGTGACAGGAGGAAACACATGAGGCAGGCAGGAAGTCCCTGTTACAGCACCGCGGCGTGCTAACTTGTCAGGCTAACAGATCTGATTTCAGGCAGCTCAGCAGATCGTTTAAGAGTTTAAACATTTCATTTCCTGTGCACTAAAGCTGTGCTTACAGCCTGGAGGACAGGTTTAGGAAAAATGACATTTAGTGTCCTGTTCTGCCACCTCTGGTTTTAACTTTAAACAAGAGTCTACAGCCATGCTAGCAGTTCTTTTAGGCTTGCACCTCAAATTTAACAATGGCAGTGCCACCATGCTGATGTTTAGCAGCTGTAATGTTACACACAGCATCAATGCAAAGTACTGTTAAGTTCTGACGTGATGAAGAAGCTGTCACTTGGGCTCTTAGAATCTTTGATTAACGTTTCTAGCTATTTTCTAAAATTTTATACACTAAAAAATGAATCCAAAAAACAAGCTTCTAATGCAGGAATACTCAACTCACTCTGCCTGGGGGCCACTTTTGCAAAATGACAGGAGGTAAGGGGCCAGTTACAGCAGCTCTGCACAGGTCAGGTGTACGCAGGTATTGTGTTTCTAGTATTTGACAACATTCAGAGCTTAGCCAAGACCTTTTTCAGGGGTCCAGGGGATCCTCCGCTGGCACATAAAAAACAGCTCTATTTTGATGCTTTTTTTTTGTACACTCTGGCACCTTATTTACATTCAGAGTATAAGAAAAAATTCCCAGTGTGAATCAGTCAGGCTTCCAGGAAGTGTGCCGGGCTTTAAAGACAAATTTTCATAGTGGCCAAATAGTAGAAATACAATGGTCCGTCATGTGATGCCCTGCGGCCCAAGAATACTTTTTCCCATTGACATACTTGGCAAAAGACACATCTGTAAATCAGTGGATACATTTTTTGAACATCACAACCCCCGCAAAATAACTCCTTTCTTGAGTCTGAACACTGATTGTGGTGGACGGTTCATGTCAAGAGAGTGGAATCTCACCCAAAAAAGGATGAAAACAAGCTTTTACCAAAACTTAATTTACCAGGCAGCTCCTATTTTTATATCTATGACATGTTGTTTTGAATAATTGCTAATGAGGTTTTGGAGTTTTCAAAGGCACCGGGTCAGTGTATCAGAGCAGTTCTTTTTACTGCAGTCCACAACACCTTGGGCTTGTTTGGTTGTATGGTTATTTAAGTGAGTATTTATATACCACTAATTTGTTTTGATGCGAACATGTTCTCTTTCTGTTTGTGTGCTCAGCCAGTGGATGTGCTGACAGGAAGACTGACAATGTAGAAGAAAAAGAAGAAGAAGAAGAAGACAGAGAGGAAGTGTTCACGGTGGAGCTCCACAGAGGACCTCACGGCCTCGGCCTGGCGCTCGTGGATGGAACGGTACAACAGCTTCTTCCTTCTTTACCCAGCACACATCCTCTTCTTCTCTCCTTCATAACACTGATTTAATAACAAGCATTTAGAGGTCCAGTAGTGTAAAATGATTTTGAAAGGCAGAGTCTTATCTGGATTGTTTCAGATCAGCAGCCACAGGGCTAAATGTTTTCACAGTTTAATCCGGACACAGGAAAACTTGTGCAGCAAATCTGATGAAGACTAATGAGATCAGACTATAAACTGAAGGGATTTGAGTTCAACAGACTGAAACTACAAATCTAATCTAACTAAATGTTCTTACTGACTGAAGGGCGGCTCTGCGGTCCAACCTCATGGGCAAAAGCCATTATGGTGATGTGATATGTTTGAACAGACAAGCTCATTAGCTATCATTAAAACCAGGTTAATGTTTGTACCACAGAGTACAACTGTTAAACACTAAAACATATATATATGCTTTATAATTTATATTTGAGCTATAACATTTAGTCAATCAACAAAACAACACTCACAACAAAAATACTGCTCAATCATTGATTAGCTGTAAAAACGCCAGCCTTCAAATGTGAATATTTGCTTGTTTCCCTAATAAAAACAGAATTATAATACCTAGGCATGCCTCAGAGAGCACCACAATTTGGTTACTCTATAAAATAACCTTCCTGTTTTATATTTACACAGAAAACACAGCTGAGAATGAGTGGCATTTATGTGAAGTCAGTGGTTCCCGACTCTCCTGCCGCTCAGTGTCAGAAACTGAAAACAGGCGATCGCATCCTGGCTGTTAATGGCATCAGTGTGGTCGGTATGGAGTATAACGTGTAAGTATTAAAGTACACACTACAGATATTAGTCTGATCCCATGTTCCTGTCACTGCTTCTTTATAGCCTGTTGATTCTCTCTGCTTCTATTTCAGTGGTCGAGAGCTGATCCGATCATCAGGAGACTCTCTCAGACTGCTGGTGGCCAAGATCGACTCAAAGGCGAGCAACAAGAGCTCGGCTATGGCTAAATGCTGAAGGAAGAGGTGTGTGTGGACAATCAAGTGCAATTGGGAATACTAGAGGACGTTTGGTTTCTCCTTCCTGCTGCATCCAAAGTCAGTATTTCTTACAGGATGAAGGAAAACACAGACTTATTGTGACATAGAGCTGTTGTGTTTGCGTTGAGACAATCATCCCAAAGCAACAGGACCGACTCGAGACTGTGGGCATGGTCAAGTTTATAAAAGCTCATTTTGCTGTCGCAGCTTCTTTCTGGCCTATAAACAAACTCGACTCCACACTCATAAACCATGAGGGTTTGGCGGTGAGGAAAATAGCTGCCTGTGGCAATTTGCTGTTGTGAAACATCTATTTGAATGTCTGAGTACACAGTATTCTGTCTGCGGAGCTTCATGTAGCTGCTCCAGGATCAAGATTCATGTATGGCACCAACTGGAACTATTCTCAAATTCATTCTTAAAGTATGGCTATATGAAAAACTGTGAAACAGGATATTTTACACTGCAACAATTCCATTTCCAGGGAGTCATAAAATCATATTACTTTGCACAAGTTAAAGATCTGTCATTGGGCATTAGGTTAGTTCATCTTTTTCCACTACAAATATACTTGTTAAGCTTCTTTTTAAACATATGCGGAGAAAAATCCTCAACTACAGAAAACCAGCAGAATTATCTCAGCTTACCAGGAGATTTTTGTATTTCTTGTTTTAGGAAAAACTAAATTGAGGCTTGATGTAAGACAGTGTCTTTTTTTCTTGTTTGTTTGTTTGTTTCATTTTCCATTTTGAAATCTTCACTTTGATATCACGTGAAAGACTGTTCATGCAAAGTAGCTGTTACAACAGCACGCCAAGTGATGGGTAACTGCACAAGTCCTTAAGACAATGGGATAGAAATCATCATCATTGTTGATGCATATAAACGAATTTGAGGATTCTGTGTTCACTTTTTAATCAATTTTTCTTATCATAAGAATGGATCAAATAACTGGTGATGGACCTACACAGGATTATCAACTGAATCTGCAGATCCCCTCGGCTACACAGAACTTTACAGTGTGATTCAAATTATTATTTATCTGTCCGACCCAGAACTTTATGTCCTGGTTCACTCTCACTGCTCTCATGGCGTCATTTTCAATGAAAAAAATAAAAGCTGTGAAAACTCACTGTTCACCACCTGCTCAACATCAAACAGCAGATAGACAGTTAGAGACTAGCTGGTGAATATAGTGGAGCATTTAGCAGCTAAAGAGACAGATACAAATGACTATTCATGTTGCTCTGTAGCTGCTGGGCGTGTAAGTAAGCAACTGTTTGCTAACAAGTTCAGGTTCAAACTCCTCAACTGGACAGATGCCAAAAAATATTTTGTTACAGAAATAAAACAGCAAAGTTTGTCTGAGTTATCAGAAAGTTTTAAGTCTCGGAGTCAAAAGGAATTCTACATTTTAAAATGTACACAAAGTTAAAGGAAGTGCACACTTTCTGTCATAATGTTCTCTCTGTTTCAGCTGTTTGTATGTTTCAGGATCTTTCAGTGGAGCGTCATTCACATTCATCTACACACAAAAATGTACAGTGGTTAAACTGAATTAAAGGAATAGTTTAACAATTTGTGGTTGACAGTTAGATAAGAAGACTGAAACCACTGGCATGTGTTCTGCAAAATAATTTAAGGCACTTCCAGCAGCCCGTTAGCTTAGCTTAGCATAAAGACTGGAAACAAAGGGAAACAGCTAGCCTGGCTCTCATCTGTTTCCCCCAGCTAACCAGCTGCTGGCTGTATCTTCACACTTACGCTACAGGCATGAGAGCGGTGTCAGTCCTCTCATCTAACCATCGGCAAGAAAGCAAATAATGTTGAACTTTTCCTTTAAAGCCTTACTGTCAGAGGTTTGGGCCCAAATCATAAAGCATCTCAGAGTTACCAATCATAGATCAGTTTGTATGAAAAACATCAGCAGACATGTTTTAATAAGTTTAACACTGTAGAGCGACAAACTGCTGCAGCCCTCATCTCAAGTCTGTCTGTGTTTTAATCCCAAATGTTTTAAGTTCAAGTATATTGACATACAGTATTATTCACAGTATTTTGTAATATTTATATTGCGCAGTATTTTTGAAACTATGTAATAAATATTATTTTGACTGAAAACCTTGAACTCCTGTGTGCTCTCTGGTTGTTCTGTCTTCATGCATAAACCTTCTCCTATAATGTGTTTGTTAACAAATACAGCAGTGAACTCCATGTGCAGCAGGAATCTAAAAGCCGGGTGGAGCAGCAGGGAAGCTGCTGGGTGTGTCGGCACGCTTTAGTGGTCGCCACCAGCCGCTGTTTATAGCTGCTCTGTGGTTTCCACTAGCCAAGCACTTTCCACTGACTCCAGCTCCAGCAAGTCCAGCCCCTGTGGCCCCCTGAGGCCTCAATTCAGAACACTGCTTTATATCTGTATAAAGGTTTTTCAACATGTTGCACCCTCTTACTTAAATGTGAACACATCGGAGAGTGTAATTAAAGTGTAAACAAGGTGCTGAGTGTGAGACGCCCCTGCAGCTTTCTGACATTAATCTTCTTTTAAGAATTCAACTTTATGTTCACACTGCAGGCTTTTAATGCTTAGCTTGTACTTATATTTATGTATCCATACAGAAGAGGTCACATAGGTTTTGTACTTGCAATGTCTCTCTTCATCTAGCTGGCTTATTTATCTGCTGGTTACTGCTTTTTAACCAGTTAATCGCTGCTTGTCTCACATGCGGCTTATTATGACAAGGGCAAAAAATTGTTCGTAAGTACATTTACTCAATTACAAATTAAAAGTACTTGTACTTTTTTTTACTCAAATTTTTACTATTAATGCAACTTTACACTGATACATATATCTCAACAGTAAATTTTGTACTTTTTACCGCACTACATTTGTCTGACAGCTTCAGTTACAGATCAGGTTACAGTTTTTCATCTCCTTCCTGCCCAGTGAAAACCATGTATCTCCAAATGTGTTAATTTAAATGTTTGTGAAAAACTGAAGGATAAACTTCTGAAGCCAAATAAACTCTTTAAAAACCCTCTTGGATCAGCTTAAACATGTATCATCACAAAGCTGAAACCAGGGCTGTTTCCTGACACCATGAAAACTTGACTTTCTAGAGATTCGTGGTTCTCACAGGGCAGTGATGCTACAAGATTAAACTACAGTATATGAAGGAGTTCACAACCTTAAACATCTACAGCAGTGCATACACATTGATGCAGCAGTAATAGTAATCCAAAAACATACATAATACTAAATACATCCTCCACCACCATCCAAACAACCTCCTCCTGTCGTCACACCTGATTAGAGGAGTGATTCGTCAAGTTAAGTGAAAACACCTGTGTGGGTGAGCAGAGACTTTAACTTTCAGTCCATATCATGTTTCAGATTTCCAAATGTGCAAAATATTTCAGACACTGCAAACATCTAGAAATTATTAGAAAAAAAATCTATTGAGGGTGGGGGTTGAATATTTAATTCAATAGCATGAGCTTGCTTGAACAGTCCCACAAAGGTGACCCTCATGGTGGTGCTTGAGGAAAAAGACAGGTGATCTCCAAAATCAGAGGGATTCATTCTCTGGGGAGCATGGACGTCTGTATGAAACATTAAGGCACTGAATCAAATACTTGAGATATTTCAGTCTGCGCCCAAATGGTGGACTAACCAACAGTAGCTTCCGCAGCATGCATGCCTAAAAACACTGTGAGGTAATTTTATGTATTTAATTTAGTGACCGCTCCTTATGGAAGCAGAGTCTGGCGCTGAGCTGAAGTAGTGGTCACAGTTGAGGATGGGACAGTCTGTAAACAGCAGCATGTAGTCGTAGTACACAGTGTCCTCTGGAGGAGTTTCCTCTGGCCCTCCTCTGAAGCCACATTCCTCCAGGAAACTTCCTGGGGGCAGGCGAGCCTCCTCTGTGGGTACTCTACTCCGGAAAACCTCCAGCCTGGTGGTCTGGATCCCGACCCGCTCCTGGATCGTCCTGATCAGACTGAGAACTCTACTGCTGCTCAGCAAAACAATCTCAAAGTTTCCTGGATGAGCTGCAGCAGCAGGGTCGAAGGGGATCGGTCTGACACTCAGACGGATGAACCTGTTGGTTAAAATCTGATTTTAGATCAGAATCCCTCTCATATGAAGTTGTTTTGGGGGAACATTTTTTATTATTTTATTATTTTTTTTGTTATTGAATGAATGAGTATAATATACAATATTTCAATCAGCAATGTGGTGGAGAAAAAGAAGTAGCGGTAGTATTCAAAAATTATCTGTATGTAACTTTTTATCAGTGTTAGTCATTTTTTATCACCAGTGGTTGAACAGGTTGTATACCCTTTTTGTGTTTGTAAACAGCGATGACGTATTTTGTGGGCAGAGGCGAACTGGTGGCAGAAAGGGACAGTAGTGGTGTTAGCGCCAAATAAAACATAAAAAGCATGATTTTTTTTTTTATTTCTCAACCAATTGCAATGAGTCATTTTTATATCCATGGATTTATGATCTATGTGTAGTAGAAGGAAAAAAAAATGTCTCCAGTTTAGGGAATCTGGATATTATTTAGGCTAATCACTGCCGCTCAAGTAAAGGAGTGTATTAGGCTTATATGAACTGAATTATTTACGTGGTGAAAGGTACCATCATGAGGAATTGTTAAAACTCACATTTCTCAAGCATGGATTTGGCTTATTCTTTAATTAATAGCTGTGGAGACGTCCCCATATTATATAATTTACTGTGGAAGTACAACTTCAACTTGTGAGCATGCTAGCTAGCTAAAGCTGCCTGCTTATTAACACCTTGATCATAACAAAGTACTCTTCACTTTTGAAAGGCCACCACAAGAAAATGTGTTCTTTGTTCATGTTAACATAGAGACTATAATGTGTGTTTACTGTAGATCGGTTCCCATCTGCATCCAGGCAGGGAAAATGAAAGGCTCTGTTAGCGATGTAGCTAACGTAGCTAGTGCGCTACCTATGGCTGATCGCTGACAGGTAGAAACAATGAGTCATCATCCGTTTAATCTAATCAAAGAACATGTTTTCTTGTGGTGTTGTTCCTAAAATGAGCAGTGGTGACAATTACTATTTTCTGGTATGGTGAAGGAGATAATCAGTAGGCAGCGTTAGCTAGCTAGTTGAAAAGTTCAATCTATGTTAACAAATGTGAGTTTTTACAATTCCTAATGATGATGAATTATTTATCACCACGTCAGTAATTCAGTTCATGTAAGCCAAACACACACTCTTCATGCATACATTTTGTATTAAGATTACTATGTAACTAAGTAACTCCATTAGAGTAAAACGGTACAATATTTGCCTTCAAATGCACTGATGTAAAAGTATAAAGTAGCATAAAAGGTAATACTCTAGTTAAGTAAGTAAAGTATTTGAGTAGTAGTAGTTTCCATCACAGAAACAAACACACACACACACACACACACACACACACACACAAACAATTATAGCAGCAGGTCAAATAAGGCAACAACACTTGTGTAAAGGTCGTTTTGAGGTCTGCTTTGTTTATGTAGCTGTTGAGTTTGCGTGTAATTTAGTTACAGGAAGTGACTGAATAAAAAGAGACATTAGCATGTTAACTGAAGTTTTCTGTACATTAATTTATTGATTAATTAATCAAATTAATTCAGTTATTTATATTGGGACAGAGGGCTTTAGTGCCCACCTTTAATAAAAAAGACACATTCAGTGAGAACAAGGAAAAACTCCCTACAGGAAGACACCTTGGGTGGGCCTACTCAAAGAGGGATCCCCCTCTGGGACAACCAGCTGGTGGGTGTCATGAGTGTCCCTGTGTCCAGATGGTGGGGGTCTGTGTTCACCTGAAGATGATCTTGTATTGCTGGGTGCCAGTGATGTTATGAGGATGGGGTGGAGGGGGTGTTACAGCATCTGTCAGGATTTATGATGTTACCCTCTGGATTTTTTGGCACTTCTGTCATCCTCATCTTCGTCATATCTTTCCCTTTTCCTGGATACTTATGAAAGTGGGTCCTCCTCTTCTTCCTCATAGACTGAATCATCATCATCAGTATCCTCAGTGCAGCTGTCCCAGCCGCTGATGCTGTCACTGCTACTGTCGCATCCCAGTACCTGAATCTTTTAAATTTTACTCCCCTCATCCTCATCATCTTCCTCTCGAGGCCGCAGCCTGGATTCACCAGGCAGTGGGTCATCGTTTTGTTCAGCATGCTGGTTACTCTCCTCATCCTCATCATCTTCTTCTCAAGGCGAGTCGTTGTCTTATTCAACATGCTGGTTGATTCCCATGTTGACCTCAGCAGCTGGAACAACAGCAACATCAGGAGTGTTCACGTTATCACCATTGCCAATATGGTGACGTTGAACTGGATTCCTCAGAGCCAATTGTCTTTCCTCTCTCAAAGCACTGAGTACTGGCCGCCTGAGGAATGTGGAGATGGGCAGCAGGCATCTCCTCGCCGATTCATCTTTATTGGTCACTAATTCTGTATCGTCTGAACACAAGGGAGCTGGTTTGTAAATCTGCAGAGCACTTTCAAACTTGAGGTTGTTTCAAAAGAAAACGTCTCCTGGGAAATATGCTTTGGTGAGATGAAAGGGTTACCAAAGCAAAGACGGTGCGTGTGTGTGTGTTTCAGCAATCTGGAGCAAATGGAGTATTCACAAAGTCTGAAGCCTAAGGTTTTTGTTCATAGGGATTACTGTTGCATATCATTACCTCATTTTTTTGAAACTTAAGCCACAATTTATATAAACATGAGACATTGTAACATTATATATATATGACAGAAAATAAGGACAAGCATCGTAGAACCCCTCTAATGACTGTGCACCACTTGTGATTTTTCCTAGGAATGTTGCCACTGACGGACAGTTTTAATAATGCAAGTACAAGGGCTTTCATTACATATATGTTAATGTACATACCTCATGTCCTCTTCAGGGTTTGACAGCTGACGATCACATCTTGATATCTGAGTGTCGATCTCTGTGCTGTCATTCAGTCTTTGATGACAAAACGACAGAAAACAGTCCCGGTTCATAAAACAATAAACAAAAAAAAGATCCTCTCACATAAGGTACTAATTTATTTTACCTCAGTTTCTTCTGCACCTGTGTGCTCAAATCTCGATAACTGATCATGTTGTCATTGGTCTTCAGCTGCTGAGTCAGCATGTGGAGCTGAAACTGCTGACAAGGGACGTCCAAGTTCATTAGACCTGCAGCCAGAGACACACAAATCAATAATAGTGGAGTTTATGTCAATATCAATAGTTTAATAAAGTGTTCATGAAATGCTGCATCATTTAACCTGTTCAGATTTTTTTTTTTTTTTTTTTTTTAATGTGATGATTCATTCCTTGAGTTGTCAATTCAGGATTTCTGTAAAGGCTCCAAAAAAAACTCTAGAGGCTTAAGTATATCTTATGTAAAATAATAATAATTTAAAAAATATGAACACGTTTATCTTTTTAGCAGTGTGAAAGCTACATTTTTGGAAAACTGTAAATGTTATCACAAATTCAGTGATGGACACTGAGGCTGATTTTAGTCCACGCCTCAATTTCTCAGTGTGAGAAATGTAAAAAACTAATTAAGATTTCTTATTTTGCAAGGACATTTAATTTGTTATCTTGGAAACTAAACTCAATCACAGTTTTAGCAAATATAGGCAAAACTGTGGATATTTCTTTAAAATATTTGGGCCCCTTTCCTCACAAATTTAGAAACATTCTGGTTGTGAGAATCTGCAGATTTCTTTAAATTTTGAGGGGATGCTGAATTGTTTGACAGATTTTGTCAGAGGATACAGAAATACGTAGTTTGTGATTTTCATGTGGCAACTTGATATAATTTTCCCCTTCATGTATTTGTTGTTATAAGAAGAAGAAGTTTGTTAAAAAGTAGCCCAGATGTAAATTAGCCTTTTTGTGTCTCAGTGTCACAAGCTGGCGTGTTCAGATTTCTTGCTTTTTGAAAAGTGCTGATTCACATGGAGCCCCAGTCTGCACCTCTGAGTTATTATCCTGCAGGTCTTGGAGCTCCTTCAAACTCTTCAGTACAAAAGTATAGTTTACTGAGACAAAAGGAACATTGTTCTGGGTTTGTTTCCCAGAGCCAGCTGCTCTTATCTGCGAGGGGGATAAAAGGAAATGACTCACAGTGCCCTCCGTGAATACTTCAGTACAACCACAGTGGCATTTGGTTAATACCGACCCACATATCTTCTCCTAATCTCTTTTTCCTTCAAGATTATCTGACATTCAGAGGAGCTGGAACAGACACTGAAGTCTGCCGTGTGAAGAAGAGTTCAATGTGAGCCTTCATGGATGTTGGCATATAAAATCACAGAAAATACTAAAACTGTTTCCAAAAGAGCAACGGGATGCTTGTTCATGCTTTGGGGATAAAGGGGCAGATAAAAGATGGATTACCCAGGTAAAAATCCTTCAGGTTGACTGATCCACTTCTGTCTGCGTCACTGTGACTGAACAACTCATCCACCTGCAGCTGATGATCCAAAAACCACCGAGTCATCTCAAACAGGAAGCTCTCAAACTCAGGCCTGCTGAACTGCGAAGTTTTGTCCATGGGAACCTTTACCATGTTTGAGACAAATCACAAGTGATAATATATGCTTACTTGTATCAGGTAAAGTGTGTTTAAGTAGTGCCGAGTTTTATACAGTTTACCAGTCACTAAAAGTTTAGATGGAGTAGAAATTCCCATCATAACTTTAATTAATTTCAAATAGGTTTTAGTAATGTAAAAAGAGAGTCTGTGTGGTCCAGTTGAGCTAGATGCTGACACAAAGATACAAATAAATCTAACAAGAGACCATCTTGCGATTGGTTCACTCTAGCTGTGATACAGCACTCTGCGACTTCACACAAGTGTGAGCCAGAGGCCCAGTGGCTCCTTCCCCTCTTGTTACCCTACTTCCAGCCCCCTTGCTTGGATCACATCCATCATCTAACTTCCTCTCATTTTGATCTCACCAGCACACCTGGAAAGATTCATGACTGCGTCTTGCATGGTTACGCAATCATGATGACAAATTGTGTCCACAGACATACAGACACACTGAATGAATTTAATTTGACATAAACACCTGGCATAGTACTCAGAACTGCTCCTGTAATAGCTCCCCCTATCTCCAGGACCCTATTTTGCCATGATGACACACACATAGACTCGCAAGGTTAAAACTATACCAGCCATTGAGACACTGTAGGTGCTGGTAATAAACCAATAAACTACAAATGTAAAGCACAGCTAATGCTAATGCTAATATCAGCTTGCTAACATGTTCACAATGTCAGTGCTCTGCACTGTTTAGCAGATATAATGTTTACTACTGAGTTTACCATCTTAATTTAGTGTGTTAGCATAATGCTAGTTAGCACTAAACACAAAAGGCTGATGAGAATGCCGTTAGTTTTGCAGGTGTCATGCCTAGTTTAGACCAAAGATTTGCGATGAGACAGTTGAAACAGGCAACTACTTGCAATACACCATTCTGCAGTGTTCTAAAAACCTGCCGGATCACACCAATGCAACTACATGAGACCATGTATCATCTCTATGCAACAACTCTCTGCACTTCCGTTCTGATTTCCAGCTTTTCAGGCTTATTTTGTGGCTGAATATCGTTTTTTGCTTCTCGTGAGATAGCAAGATAGTGAGAAACTGGCTACAGTATCTCACTAAGCATAAGCGACCCACCATTCAACACAGGCACACCATGACGATGGAAACAGAGGGCTCAGCGAGGACGGAGCATCCATCTGCAGTCATTTTGACTTGACCAGCCGACTTCACTACAAGGTGACTGGCTGTAGAAACAGGTGATACGTTCTAAAACCAGCCAGTGCCGGTACCGGCTGCAGGTGAGTCGAGCTCAGGCCGGCCAGTTCACAGCTGTGGCAACTTTTCTCTGCAACATTCTAAAACAGTTTCATCTCGTCGCAAATCATTGGTCTGAACTGGGCTTTGGTCACAAACCAAAGTGTTGGACAAACAGAATTTTTGACTTGATGATGGCGCTAGGTGAAAAGTCAGGGGATCACCAAAGTGATTACAATTCAATTATTCTGAGGGAACCATGAATGTGTATTAAAATTTATGACAATCTATTCAGTAGTTCTCGAGTTATTTCATTAAAAAGATAAATAAACAGTCCAGTCTTTATGCTGAGCTAAGCTGACCTCTTGCTTGGTTCAAATTCTCCATATAGACATGAAAATGCTTTCAAAGTTCTCATCTAACTCTCAGCAAGACAGTGAGTAAGCATAAAAATGTCAAACCATCCCTTTAAGTGTTAAGGGTCACTACCCAGTCCTTGTTTACACCCAACAAACCAAAACCATTGAACACTCTTGGTCTGTTTCTCTGACTGTTACACCCACATTAGCGTGCTCTTTTTTGGTGAATTTTCGGGGCCGCTTTTTTTTCTTCTTCATGTTGTCCTCCACCAGGAGAAGGAAGGAAGCACCACTCAGCTCTGTGTTTACAGTAGATATGAGGTTGATGTCAGTCACTCTGTACTCACTGGGGAAGAAAAGATGAAATACTTGTTTACACTGGAGGTAGAATCACTGGATATTGTATTTTTCCAAGAACCTGCAGGTCAGAGAATCAGCTTTACACAATCAGTAACAAATAGGCTACGCAAGACAAATTTAAAAACTGGACTACAAGCTGAATGTGAAGTTAGTTTGAACTTGGAACAAAGAAACACATTTGGCAAACCAGAATATTTCAGTTTAAACTTTGAAAGTAAAAGTGAAGTAATGGTTCCTTTATGTCAGAATATAGAGTGCTGTAAGGATGATGTTTTTTGTAGGCCAGTGTAAAATGTTAGCATTGCCTTGGTTCTCTCATAAAAAGTCTATGGGATTTTCCCATTGGATTTTGGATTATTGAAGAAAATAACCTGCCTTTCTCACGATACCAAAAGGCTGCAAAATTCACAAGTGGGGTATTCACTGACGTATTTTATGTCGCAGAACAAAACGTGAAAGTCTCTTCGGCTTGAGTTAACCACAGACCTTATTTTAGGCATCTAACCAAAACCCATTTTCAAAACCCAATGAGATGAGGGAACCGGAAGGTTTTAGGACTCTATTTTTAACCATTGTTTTACACGAACCATTTTAACCATTTCCATCAGCTAATTAAGCTAACTATTTCAAGTGTTTATTCAGTAGCGTACTAGCTAACTATTCCAACTATTTCCACCTATCTATTTGTCGATCACTTTTAGGTAACTATTTAAACAATCAGTGCAGTGGTGTAGTGGTCTATCCAGGTATACGTGGTATACCCACCTCTTTTTCTGGGTGTCTACAGTATACACACCTATCAGCCAAAAAGCCATTGAAATACATGGGACAGTACAGTATACACACTTCCTCCTCTGTAACCTACCCACCTAGTAGTACTTAGTTTGATATTTTATTGATACAAACAAATAAAATATTTGGGTCCAAACAATATACAAAAAAATCTTATATAAATTAAACCCATTGGTAAAAACATTAAAAGGTAATACAGCTAACAACATAGAGTCCTGTCATTTAGTAGAGGCCTGCTGGTGCTCCAGTACTGTAAGGCATGCATGTAACATAACTGGATTCTTTTATCAGTGGCCACGAAGAGTGAGCTCAGTTCAGGAGAGTCATGTCCATATTTCTCACGGATATTCTGTGTATGAGGACACACGAGTATAAGATCTTCATTTTGTATGCCAGTCTTACAGCAACACACGCGTTGATCTGGTGGTGTACGGCTTCACCTCCCTATTTACACTCGCAATCTGTGAGAAGGCAACTGGAACTGTAATGTAGGGCTGTATTGTATTTGGGTTGATGGCTTGGTAGGTCTTGTATCTTGTTCCCTCTTTAGATCTTAATTTTTCAATCATCTCTCTGCAGTCACTCTCAATATGACCTTGTTTCAGATAAATATGAGTTCACGACTTAGCTCTCCTTTCTTGTCATTTCTAGAACATACCACAAGGTAGGGTGACCATATTTTGATTTCCAAAAAGGAGGACATTCGGCCGGCCACGACATAGCCTACTTAAATGATACTCGCAGCTTACTCAAAGATGCCTTATCATTTTAATATATTTAAAATTTATATGTAGGCCTATGGATAGAAAATTCAGTTATATTACAAAATAATATCTCTCAAAGACAGAAATTCAGATAGGCCCCAATAGGGACACATACACACACTAGAGTGTGGCTACCCGATCCGAGCCCGATGGTACCCGACGGGTCGGGCCGGGTTTGGTCAAAAATGTAGCTATAAATTGTATTCGGGTTCGGTCTGCTTTCAGTAAAAATATAGTGTAAATGTACTGTTTATTGCTTGGGCGCTGTTATTTACGTGACAACACCTGAACATAACATACACAGACACACACTGGCTGTTTGTTTCTACCTCTCCCCTCGCTGGAAACCTCGGACCTCCCGCCGCCCGCCTCCGCCTTGATTAAACGCTGAAAATAAAATAAAAGAGGGAGACAGGTTTTTCCTATTTTATCTTATTTTGTTTTATTTCTCCCTCTCCTCTCGCTAGAAGCGTCGGACCTCCCGCCTCCCGCTCCCGTCTCAAACATGAGGTCTCACTCTCCGCTGAGCATGCCCGGCCTGTTAAATAGCCTGTAACCATAACAACAACAACACAAAGTCAGTGCTTTGGTCATTAAATAATGTCGGGCTCGGTTTGGGTTTGGACAGAAATATGTGGCCCGTGTCGCACTCTAACACACACACACAAACACACGGAAAACCGGACATTATCATCAGTTTATAAAAAAACCCCAGACGCCCGGACAGGACGTGAAAAGTGGATATGTCCGGGCAAAAGAGGACGTTTGGTCAGCCTACCACAAGGGGTCATCTGACGCTGCTTCATCTTGCTCTAAAACCTGGCTTGCTTTTCTCTCACTAAAGCTTGCACTGAAAGGAGTCGTTGACGGTGTAGTAGACCTCACCCCCAGTGGGGATTTCACCTGAGTCATGTAAAGAGATTTAACAGACTTAAGAGCACTTTTAACAGAGCCTCACACCCATACAAATAGCTGAAGAGAGAGCAGTTTCAAAAACTTTTAGTTTGACACAAACTGGGGCATCATGGTTGCTGGGTTAGAAGATAATTAACTTGGTGGTCCCCACTAAAGAACTTATATGAAAAAAATTGACAACCAGACCAGGCTTCTAATAGAGACAGGCATTTATTTGCCAAATGTGTAGCCACACCGGGCTAGTAAAAGGGATTGTGCATTTAAATGGGACGGGGCTTTTAATGGAAGTTTTACAGTGTTTCAGCTGTTTATCCAATGCTTTTAGCTAAATATCTAAAGTTTTTATCCATTATTTTTGGCTTACAATTTCAACAGTTTGTCTGTTGATTTCAGCTAATCATTTCAGCTGTTTATACTTAACTTTAGCTAACTATTGTTAGTTAACTTTAAGATAACCATTTCAAATGTTTGTCCATTAGTTAACTTTTAGCTAAGAAGTTGAGCTAATCCACATGTACCCCCAAGCAACTTCAGAAGAGCTGCACAGGAATCACTGGAGTAAAGTATAAAAAGATCATCAACTTGTGTGTGTATTCTGCGACTAAACCTACTCTAACCTATGACTGATTGTAGACGCACCAAAAGTAAATTTAGGATTTGCAGACACCCATGTTTTACAGTGCAGTTAGGTGATTAATCATGCTCATGCTCAACAGTGAAAGAGTGACAAAATACAGTTAGAGAATAGGTCATGATGCTTTTGCAGTTGCTCATCCTTCCTGCTCATCTCAGACAATGAAGTCAGGAAACAAAGCAACAGTGACCAGTTAGATGTGATGAGAGTGAGTGTACACACTGCTGCCCCTGTCTTCCTCACTCCCAGTGCATATCCCAGTACCAGTGCTGGGAGCAGGGGGAGTTCTTTAAACCCAGCCCCTCCCTCAGACAGACAGGAAATCCCGTCTGGAGGCGAAGGTGTATGAGGATACACTGACTGGGAAGAAAGCCAGTCAGGTTGCCTCTGAGTCTGGGAGAGTTTATGATTTACTGATAGCAGTAAAAGATGTCGTCATAAATGAAAGCAGTGATGCCACGATGGAAGAATTCAAAATTTCAATTGTTTCATGTCTTAGATAACTGACATTTCAACTGCTTTTATCATTTGCACTTCAACTCAAACTTCAGCTGTTTAATTAAAGAGCTTCACTTGAAACTCAAACTCTTAAACAACAGCTCACTTGGGAACATTTGCATTTTTTGAGACATTTGCATTGCTTTACACTATTTGCACCTGCACTTTTCAGCAGTGAGTACACTTTTGTACAACAAAAATGCACCATAACTCATATTTTTTAATGTACATGTACTTCATCTGCAAAAATCTTTAGCTGTCAGATAAAGTAGCTCAGTAAGTACTCTAGTAAGTTTGAAGCACCACAAAACTGTACTTTATACAGTTTTTGTGTTCTTGTGCTGCGGGATACAAAGTTTTTACCTGATAAGACTGATACTTTGAGTTTATCTACAATATCTATGCGGATGACTGAATAAAATGTAGAATATTTTCCTCAAGAAAGTGGTAGATACAGTAGTTGTCTCCAAATATGAACATTTTCCAACAATAACCTAAATTTACTTTGCTACTTTTAAGAAGTAGAAGTACAGTATTAGTTGTAGCAGTAACACTGAGGTGGTGGTACAGTTTGTACTTAAACACTGATAACTTGCCCTGAAGTGTTCCCAGTCTCTGTAACATGCTGGAGTCTCTGAGGATCAAAATGAAACTTCTCACACAGCTGAATGAACTCAGTCAACTGTGAATAAAAAGAGCTTTTTTTTATATGTTTCTGACAGAAAACACGACACGCTTCCTTTGAGGAAAAAAATGTCTTTTATCTTTGCCCTTATAAAATTCCTCTCATGTATATTTATGCCTTCACAACAAGCAGATCACTTCAAAGTGTATTTCGGGTCCCACCAACCAAACAGAGAACCACAGGTGTGCTCCTGGTATGTGGAGAACAGAGTGGGAGGTCAGGGACACTTTTTTGCACTCAGAGTACCAAAGTGTGCACTCATGCAACATGAAATTTAAGAACAGTTTCTGACAGTCATTTATGCAGGAATTGATGTAGGCCAACAAACTTTAAAAAAAAAGCTCCAGTGAGCTGTGATGGAAGAAGTATTTAGTATTTACTCATAGCAATACCACACTGTTAATTAACTCCATTAAAAGAAAACAGAACCCTGCACTGTTGTAAAAGTACAATGTTTTTCTAAAGCAAAAACAAAATGGTAAACTAATTCAAAGTATCATTTTCTGTTCAATAGTTAAGTGCGAGGTTGCAACTTATGATTATTTTCATTATTAATTAATCTACTATTATGATCTATTATGAAAAACAAAGATCAGAAGAACCCAAAGTCCAAAAACACACATTTATGTTCTCAAAACTTTGTCTTGTCTTTCCTCTCCCATTAATCATCTTACAACTCCTCAGATTTATCTGGTGACCCTTCGAAGGGGCCCGGCCCTTAGGTTGGGAACCACTGGACTAAACTAGCTAATAAAGTGATTCAAACTAGCTCCATTTTGAGTGGCCACAACAGTAAAAGGCTGCTTATAAATTAACACATTAGCATTAACAATCTAATAATGTCACATATAACAATATATATCAGTAGCTGGAGATTGAGTACTTTTACTTTTGATACCTTAAGTGCATTTTGCTGATAATACTTTTGTACTTTTACCTATAGTAGTTTGAATGCAAGACTTGTAAAGGAGAAGCCTGTAGATTCATAGTGAGTATGTGGACTTGTTCAGTAAATGTAAGTACTGTGGTGGAAATGATCTGAGTACATTTACATAAGTTCTGAGGTACTTATATTTTCCTTGAATGTGCTTTATTCATGCCACTTTCTACTTCTACTCCTTAAATCATATGGGGTAAATGTTGTGCTTTTTACTCCAAGTTATCGGAAAGTTTAAATTCGTAGTTACGATACAGATTAACATATGAAGATAGAAATGAACATATGAAGCACTTATAAAATATGATGTCTTGTTATAAATTACCCTGCAGTGATACAGACCAAACAATCAATCAATTAACTGAGAAAATAATCAGCAGTTTAATCCATAATGAAAATAATCATCAGTCAATAGTTCAAAATGAGCTCCACCTCAACCAGCTACAACTGTAAAATCCTGCTGTTACATTTATGCTGAGTTTAAAATAATCTGATAATAGTATAACAATCATAGGGGGCAATTCTCTGTATTAATTTATTAAGTTCCTTTACTCTTAATACTTAAAGTGCATTTTCATTATTATAGCCTACTTCCCTTCACATACGTAACATTTTTAATGCAGGACTTTTAGTTGTGTTGGAGTATTGCCACAGTTTGATATCAGTACTTTTACTCAAGTAAAGGATTCCTCCACCTCTGAATAAGTAAAGCTTTCAGCCATGAAAAATCAGTCTCCTCTCAGATCAGTGCTACTGTTGAGCACATAATGCTTGGTTACAGCGCCCTCTGCTGCATTAATATAAGAGCTACAGAGGATGGGAGGATGACTCAGTTCCTTTCTAAATAAAACAATGAGTGTAGTTTATGACTGCTCCGGATGTAAAGTAACAACTTAAAAATGTAAAATATCAGGTTGTAAGAAAAAATGATACCACACATCATTAAATCGAATATTTTCCCATTTTTATGCACCCACATTTCAGCATTTCTGTAACGCTAAACTCTTCACTGAAACACTAAATAATAAAATCAATAATTTAAACATGTCTGTGTAGACCTTTAATGATCGGTGCAGAGACAGAGTACACATCAATAATGTGCTATTCAGTTATCAGTTATTACAAGATCATTAACTATTACGTAACTTTGATTGCGAGTACTACATTTATTCAACATGTACTTAAGTACAATTTTGAGGTACCTGAGTATTTCCATTGTCTGCTACTTTCTACTTCTACTTCTCCATCTTTACCAGCTGCAACATGAAAGTGATAAACACATAAATGCATCAATAGTTACTATAAAATAATATATATAATTCTGAAATGAGCCACTGAGTACTTCTGTTTTGGCAGTTAAAGTATATTTTTAAAGAAATACTTTTGCTTTTTACTGAATGCAGGAACTTTACTTACAACAGAGTATTTCTACACTATTACTTAAGTAAAAGATCTGAATACTTCCTCTGCTAATTATTTCCTCTGCTAATTATCATGTTCAAGATCAGTGAGCAGATACATGAGCATATAACGTGACTCACAGCTAATGTATTCAGTGCTGGTCCTCCATCCCCTTCTTCTTTTTTAAATCTCTGAACCTTTTGAGAAGTTTCTGTTCTCCTTCCTGTTGACTCACTGTGTTGACCAGTTGCCAAGGGAACAGGACCTTCACAGACACACACACGCAGTGATTTATGGGAAGGCTGACCGAATGAAATAAAATGAAAAGAAAATGTTCAGTTAGATTCAATGATTGTTCTTTGTGTTTGTTTGTTTTGTAGGTCAGCAGCAACAAAACAGCTGAGGAAATGACCTGATTACATGTGACAGATACAACTGATTGATTGACTGACCAACCTTTTCCATCTACTAAGCATCAGTAATCACATTAATTCATGCAGCCTTATCATATGTTAGAGCACAATACACTGAACCTTATTTTTCCCCTCCTCCTATACAAGCGAAACAATGAATTAAGTACTTTGTTCAAAACCCTACTGAAGTAAAAGTTTTTTTCAGCCAAATATACTCGGATTATTTGTTTTCATTTTTAAGTTAAAGTACTCGTTCTGCAGCAGGACAGATACATTGTTATATATGACATTATTAGATTGTTAATACTGATGTATCAGTGTGCATCATGCATTTAGTCCAGTGGTTCCCAACCTCGGGGTTTAGGTCCTCCAAAGGGTCACCTGATAAATCTAAGGGGTCGTGATAAGATTCATGAGAAAGGAAAAAACAAATTGCTGATGCACAAATCTGTATTGTATTGTAATCTGTTTTCTTTTCGGGGGAAGGGATGATTATTAGATGACTTTGGTTCTTTCGGCCTAAAAAATGTATTTAAATGAGAGCATGTGAAAGGTTTAGAGGGGAAGTGTGTCTTTGGTAGAAGTGCGGACAACTCACAGACATCTAAAACAAAACAGCTGGCACCAGCTAGACACAGACTTTTTAGTTACAAGCTAAATATACAAGAAACAATTGGTTAATCTTTAATAATGTGTTGTATTTCATAAGATGAGTGTCACAATAACTTAAACTAAACTAATAACTATAGGCCTAGCTGTTAAATAAATGTGATAAAGTAATTAAAAAATACAGTATTTCACTCTGAGATTTAGTGAAGTAGAGGTAGAAAGGAGCATAACATGAAAGATTCAAGATTCAGAAAGCTTTATTGTCCCAAAGGCAATTGGCATTAGAGACAGTAGTGGGGGCATCATAACTACCTTACACCACTGTTTGAGGTGTGCTTGATTTTTTAATTTGGCCCATGTCACCTCCACTAACAAGGAAGGGGCAGGAATTATGACCTATACTGTGGCCAGCCTCCAGGGGGCGATCAAGACGTCTAGGCTTCACTTTTAGGGAGCTGTCATGTTGTCCATCTTTATATACAGTCTATAGTCTTGCCCTACACACAGTGTATATGTGCTATATTATTTTGTTTCTATGTCGGGCTTTTCATATACTGGAATAATTACAGATGATAATATTATGCAGTAGTTTCTTCTTTGCACAGCTTAATGACGCTGTAATCCATTAGCCTACTTTTTCTTTACATAACTTCCATCACCATATATGCTGAAACTGTTTACTTTGCTATTTTCTCTGGTATTAATTATCACGATTTCATGCTGCAGTGACACACTTGCCTCCTCTCTTTGATGGTTTAATTAAATATGCAAGTTGAGTGCATTTGAAATGGAAACCAGCAGCAGCCTGAGAAGCATAAGACACTTACAGAATGTGAAATATACTGAGTACAGCACAAGATTTATGGACCAACATGCCAACACACTCACATGGCTTCTTGAGATGGACATTGTTTGTATTCCCCTCCTGTGTGTAGTTTTTCACTCTTGTTTTCTCCTGCAGCTTCAGTGAAACGAGGTTGTCCAGGCCGGCCTGGCCTCGGTGAGTGTTCTTGTCCCTGCGTGGCTGGACTGGTGAGCAGGATGATAAGAGCCTTTGTTATTTCCCGGGCCCCCCAATGCAAACTCTTCATCACAGGTCAGATGACAGCACAGTCCTTCACCACTCTGAGCTCAAACATCCAACAACATTTTTTTATTATTAATTATTGTGAGCTCAACAAAAACACAATACATCATAATAATAAGTCATGATTTAATTATTTATTTTTTGTTTATTTAAGGACCAGAAATGTTTTAGACTCAAGAGCTGACAACAACTAATGAGACAAATGTCTTTCAGGACCTGCTATCCACTTATTCCTAGCCCCCATGATTCCTTGCATGAATTATAGGTGTGACTCATGGCGTGTCCTGTCAACAAATTGGAACTGACGTTTTCCAACAGTATGCTACAGCTTTCTTAGAGCAACAGGGAATAAAACATGGGGAACATACCACCTGTTACACCTCAGACGGTGCCTGCCTCCACCTGTCAGTGGATTATCAGCTTCTTGACTGGCAGGAGGCAGCGAGTGAGGCTGGGGAGCATAACATCCAGCTTCCGGTCCATCAGCACTGGCGCCCCCCAGGGGTGTGTCCTCTCCCCACTGCTCTTCTCCCTGTATACCAACGACTGCACCTCAGGGGACCCTTCTGTGAAACTCCTGAAATTTGAAAATGACACCACAGTCATCGGTCTAATACAAGACTGTGATGAGTCTGCTTACAGACAGGAGGTGGAGCAGCTGGTCCTCTGGTGTAGGGGTGTAACGATACATCGATCCACATCGATACATCGATTCATTGATTAACGATCCGATTATATCGATGCAAAATGAAAACATCGATCCGTATCGTCATCTTAAAGATACACATTTATTTTGAAATTCACATAGCACGTCTGTGTCACCATTTCTGGGCAAGCGCACCTCCACTCAAACAACAAACAGAGCTCAGAAATAAAATTGTCAAATCATATTCTAGTTGTTTTTGTGAGTTGATGTAAATGATTGTGTTAGATGGGCATATGATATCGCGTCATATCGATCGCAGGCTCCTGAATCGAATCGAATCAAAATTGTATCATGACAGACTTTGTGATATCGGCAAACATCGTATCGTCATCCAAACAAATCGATATAATATCGTATCGTGATGAAGCTGGTGATTTACGCCCCTACTCTGGTGTGGTCAGAACAACCTGGAGCTGAACCCACTCAGGACTGTGGAGATGACAGTGGACTTCAGAAGAAGCCCCCCAACACTGCCCCGCCTCACCCTCCTCAACAGCTCAGTGTCTACTGTGGACACCTTCAGGTTTCTCTGTACCACAATCTCTTGGGACCTGAAGTAGACCTCCCACAAAGACACTGTCCGGAAAAAGGCCCAGCAGAGGCTGTACTTCCTGCGACAGCTCAGGAAGCTCAACCTGCCTCAGGAACTGCTGATCATGTTCTACACAGCCATAATCCAGTCTGCTCTCTACACATCCATCACCATCTGGTTTGGATCTGCCACCAAACTGGACAGAAACAGACTGAAAAGAACAATCAGGTGTGCAGAGAGAATTGCTGGGACTAATCTTCCCGCCATCGAGGACCTGTACAGGTCAAGGGTCAGGAAACGGACAGGAAACATCACTGTGGACCCCTCACACCCCAGACACAATCTGTTTAAACTCCTCCCCTCCAGTAGGCACTACAGAGCACTGTTTGCCAAAACCACCCGTAACAAAGACAGTTTCTTCCCCCAGGCTGTCGCTCCGATGAAATCCTAAACAGTCACAGAGTGGCAGGTCAAACAACACTGCAACCTTGTTCATTGTATATATTTTTTTCAAAATATTTTTTAAAATAGTTTTTAATATTTGATGTATAGTTGTATATTTTTTGTATATTGTATATTCTGTATATTCCACTTCTTGCCTAAATTTGTGTACTTATGTCATTTCTGGTACATTGAGAGCGAGTCTACCAGAGACAAATTCCTTGTATGTACACACGTACTAGGCAAATAAAGCTGATTCTGATTCTGATTCTGATAATGTGATCATACCTCTGCCATCTCTGACAGCCACCTCAAAGCACTGGTTGTCTCCTTTTTAACCAAGCCTTAGTGATTAGCCTGTCTTGTCCATTAAGGTATTGTTAAATTTAACAGAGCCGGCAGTAAACAACTCCTTTTGATTTCTTATGATTCATAAACAGACGCTATCATTTGACGAATATATGGTATTGATATTAGCTCCATGAAAAATGAATAAACGTGATGTTTCCCAGTTAATGCTCCACTGGTCTGCCTTAACAAGGCAGTTTCAAATAATTGTATAACTCTAATTCTATTGAGTGAAACATGATGCTGAATGTAGTACACCCATACTATCTTTCCCAAATCCATCTGAGCCAAATACAACTAAAGGTTTGTCTCTCAATCTACTATGAATCCTCCACTAGATAAAAAGAAGTTGCATATAAATCGTACACTTTCTTTCCATTTGAGGATTCCTAGTAGATTGGGTGGGTTTAAGGCCTTTAGAAAAAAAGTAAAAGGGCTCTAACTGCCGAAATAGAAAATCTGAGAAGAGAGAGAAATGAGGCATTTAAAGAGAGGGATGCTGTGACAGCTAATTGGACCAAGCAGCCGCTCTCTTCTTAGTCTGTGCAAGAGGATGACAGGGTACGCAAATCCATGACTCGGCTCACATAGAATGTGTTTTGGGATTAGTGGCTTAGTTTGTAAGATCTGAGGAAAAGTTTAAGATGTCCACTGAAGACCAGCTATTTATAACACTGTTGAAGTTATGACAGAATCGGTCCTTGCTGTTCCACTTCTTGGACCCAGGTCACAGCATCATACAGGACCTGTTCCTAAGATGGATCCGCCTGATGTACAGCAAAATCACTCATTCCTGATTCACAGGCCAGAGCGGAACCCATCTCAAGCACAATACTACCTGACATGAAAGCAAAGTTTCCTCGTAAACTGCACTGACATCTTTGGATCTTTGGTTTTCTATCCCCCAGAAAGGGTTACAGCCTTGGCCGACTGCTAAGTATCCACATTTATCTGTCTGGTCTATGGCTTAAAAAACACCCCAACAGCTTTTCAGAATGGAAACTAGAGACTATCTTGCAATGGGTTCACTCCAGCCATGACAAAGCAACCCACAGCCCCTCCCTACCCCCTGTAACCCAACTCCCCTGCTTATTGTAATCTACTATGGTAAAGTTTTGTGAGCCAGGGGCATAAAGTAGAGGGCCCAATGGCAGACAGACAGACAGACATATAAACACCTGTCAAAATACTCTTCTGCGGTAGATCCCACTATAATAGGTGTCACCATTAGCTATGATGACACACACACACATACAGTACGTTTTCATGACATTAGAGAAAATCAATTTATTGTGTTAGTCTGACTAAAACCAGACTTTAAAACACGTGAGTCTGACTGAAATCGTACTAAATCGAATTTCTCAAAGTGGGACTAACACACCCAGATACTGACCTAAGTATACAGTCAGTCAGACCAAAACTGGCTGAGGCACTCTGCTAATGCTCCACAGTGTCCACCCCGGACTTTGACCAAGAAACTGAAAGCAATAAATGCATACAGAAGAAGAAGCCGATAACAACATGGTGAAATCTACATCCAGAGCCGTGCATGTTTGGATGGACAAAATGTACCGAGCTGTGAAGTTGTCCCCTATGGTACCAGTTTGCTGCTAGCTAACCGTGGCTAACTTGTTTATTGATTGTTTGGTCTGTGGCGTAAAAAGGTCCAATCCTAACATGCTGAAAGGGGGCACATCGCCACCTATCGTAGTGGAATCGGACATACTTTGGTCAATAAATTGATACTTCTCCTGTGGTTGTTTACTGGGACAAGGACAGGAGACCAATTAAATGGCCTGCTCGAGCTATAACCGTAGCTCAGCTTAACTGTGCGTGTAAACGTACTGATAGACTCAGAAAGTGAAAACAATACCAGCCATCTCAATGCTCTTGTGGCTGATAGTAAATGACAAAACTTCTATAAAAGTCATAAGTTAACACACTGATGCAAGGCTAATAAGAAAGGGGGACACATCACATTTTAGTTAGTTAGATAATAATTTGCAGAAAGACATAATTTACCACAGACATTTCTATTAATCTGTTTATTTGGAGGGATTTTCAGTTGCAGGTGAAACAGTTGGCCTAATTCTTCAGTTGCTATCCAGATTATTCTGCTGTAATAAATGAATAAATATAACCGCCTGTCTGAATATCTTTGGTCTTTTTGCCAATGATGTAAATGAATGTAAATTTGCTCCCTGTGTTGTTTAGGTGCTCAGGGAGCATCCGGTGTATTCCATGAGGCCATTATGTTTCTGCATAAATTACTGCCTGCAGCAGTGCAGGGCCGAGACAAAAGGCTGAATTATTCCTGACATTGAAACTAATGACATTATTTTTCTTCCCTTATAAATCCAATATAACAAAATTCACTTACAGAGATGGATGAGCTGTTTTTTTTTTTTTTTACTGAGGCTAGAACTGCAGCAGCTCCTGCAGAGTGGTGATCAAGTAGATAAATAAATAGACTCCTAAATCTCTAAACTTCACTGACATGTCATTTTGGCTTTGGTAATTGTGCATGTAGGCAGCCTCAAATGACAGAGGGAAGTCGCTGTGTGGAAAGTTCATGTATAATTACCCAGAAATCCCTAGTTTGGTGCCGGCAAACTGCACTTGGCAAGCTTGTTTTGTCCATGGCCAACACCAAAAGGTAATTTGTGTAAACGGGGAGACTGTGCAGGTGATGATGGGGCGGGAGAAATCTTTCATACCTGATAGAGAAAGCTGGAGGTGCTGCATCCCATTTTCTTCTGACACCTTTCCCCAACAACCTTTAAAATGTGTTGTTGTGAGAAAGCCTTCAGTGGTGTGCATGGGGCTGTGAGAATGATACTG